AACTTTATTAGTGCAGTCAAATGTAAAATAATGACTGATTCAGAGTTTAAGAAAAGATGATAAAACACATGCACATGTGAAAACAGCATCAGCAACTTGTTTTCTCCTCGAACCAGAGACATTCTGCAGGGAGGAGAGGTCTGTATTGTGTTCATACTTCAAATAAACTGCACCAGAGTTCATTTTGAAGTGATCTGACCTGCTTCAGGGGGTCTCAGTCCACTTATTTGGTACACCAGAGTTCAGATGGCAGCATTCACACTCACCCTAACAAACTGCATTATCAGAGCAATTGCATCAGGGTTCTTTTCAGTCCAACCAAACCTGCCAAGTCTGAACAAAATCAATTCATGGTGGAAAAGCACATCAGTATTATGAGGCAAAACAGTCCCCAAAGAAAACTTGTTTTTTCCACATGTATCACTATTTTATCACCATCAATGTTACGTATAAAACTCAGAAGACTGTGTGTAGGTTCACTGTTGGTTCTGGATAGCAAATAAAATGTCTATATTTGTGTTGTAGTCATGGTGACCCCTGGTTCCTATCATCACCACTGTACAGAAATCTGAATCATTTTACGCCAAACCACTCTGAATCACTCTGTTTACATGTCAACCACTGAAAGTTTGAAAAATGGGTGGAATTCCCTTTCAATTATGCTTAGTACATCAATCTGTTTTACTTAAAAAGCAAGGAAAGTTTTAATGATGGGTGTCCTTCATAAATCAAATTTCAAAATTAGCTACTAACTTTATAGCTTGCTACGATAAAAAATCCTTTTAACACATTAACAAAAGATATCTGCAAATTAATAATAGCATATTGTGTAAAATGTTCTTTACAAAAGTGTTTTTTATGCTTTCAAAGTAGAACACATTGTGAAATGGTTAGTGGAGAAGTTACTCTTGAGATTTTTCATTTTGTTTTTATTGTTATTTTTCCAAATCGAATGATTTCATGCTTGTTCTGTTTCATACAGAGTTAATGAGGCTCCTCTAATGTACTGCTTACATGAAAGACTTTTTTATATTTGTTCCAATCCAAACCATTTCAAGCTTTGTGAAGAATATTTTCCTCCCAGAACAGAACAGTGGTGCTTTTGGCAACAAAGACGTCTAACCACAACTTCACCAAAATGGGGAACCTCGTTCATGTTTGCTTTATTCTGCCTCTATTATGAGGAATCATAGGCATATTTTCCATGCCCGATTTCATCCCTACCACTTTTTGGAAGTGTAGTCTGTTTCAAATCTTCTTTAGAATTCAGTGTTCGGTCATTGACAATAGGCAGTGCATTGATGAATAAGTACAGTACTGCATTTTGCTTTCTGGTGAGTGCAGTCATGTCTGCTGCCTGATAACAGGTTATTAAAACAAATGTAATTATTTACTGCATGAATTACACTGAAAAGGAGAACAGATTTGAAGTGTTTTAAGATTTAGACTGACGAAAAATATTGATTTTGTTCATCTGAAGTATTATTTTATTTTGCTTTGTTTCAAAATCTTATACAAAATTTTTGGACGCTGTGCAAAATGTTCATAAAAATAGAACACAATGATGTGCAAATCATGCAAACTCTGGATTTCATTCAAAAATAGTACAAAGACAACATATCAAATGTTGAAACTGAGAAATGTAATTGTTTTCTTAAAAATATACACCCATTTTGAATTTCATGCCAGCAAAACATTCTAAAAAAGTTGGGACGAGCAAGTTTACCACTGTGCTGCATCACCTCTTCATTTAACAACACTCTGTAAGCGTTTGGGAAAGGTTTTCAAGTGAAATGTTTTCTGATTCTTGCTTGATGTCAGTTGAGCAGCAGTTCAGGGTCTGCTTTATCATATTTTTCATTTCATAATGTGCCAAATGTTATCAGTGGGTGACAGATCTGGACCGTAGACAGGACAGTTTAGCACCTGGACTCTTTTAGTATGGAGCAATGCTGTTTTTAATATGTGCAGAATGTGGTTTGACATTGTCTTGCTGAAATAAGCAAGGCCTTCCCTGAAAAAGACATCATCTGGATGGCAGCATGTGTTGCTCCAAAACATGTATATATTGTTTTAGCATTAATGCTGCCTTCACAGATGTTCAAGTCACTCATGCCATGTGCACTAATGCCCCCTATACCATCATGAATACTGGCTTTTGAACTGTGCACTGATAACAAGCTGAGTGGTCTTTAGCCCAGAGAACACAGTGTCCGTGATTTCCAAAAAGAAATTCAAACGTTCATTCGTCAGACCACAGGACACTTTTCCACATCCTCTCAGTCCATTTTAAATGAGCTTGGGCCCAGAGAAGGTGGCAGTGTTTCTGGATCCTGTTTATGTACAGTTTCTTTTTTGCGTTTTTTGAGTGTTAACTTGTATTTGTGGATGCAGTGATGAACTGTTTTCACAGACAGTGTTTTTCAGACGTGTTTCTGAGCCCATGCAGTGATTTCCTCTACAGAATCATGTCTGTTTTTAATGCAGTGCTGCCTGAGGTCCCAAAGATCACAGCCAGCAAATACTGATTTTTAGCCTTGTCCCTCACATACAGAGATTTCTCCAGATTCTCTGAATCTTTTAATGACATTATGTACCGTAGATGATGAAAAGCAAATGCTCTTTGCTAATTTATATTGAGAAATGTTATTCTTAAATTGTTACACTATTTGGTTGTGCAGTCTTTCACAGAGTTGTGAACCCCTCTGCATATTTACTTCTAAAGGACTCTCTGTGATGCTCTTTTTATACCCAGTCATGTTACTGACCTGTTGCCAATTAACCACCAGGTGTTTTTTTTAGCATTGCACAACTTCACCAGCCTTGTGTTGCCCCGTCCAAACTTTTTGACAGCAGTCGGTCTCCTCAGTTCCCAAACACTTACAGAGTGTTAAAAGAAGAGGTGATGAAACACAGTGGTAAACAGGCCCCCGTCCCAACTTTTTTGGAAGGTTTTGTTGGCATCAAATTCAAAATGGGCATATATTTTTCAAAAAACAATAAGATTTCTCAGTTTCAACATTTGATATGTTGTCTTTGTACTACTTTCAATTACATATAGGGTTTACATGAATTGTATGTCAGTGCTTTTCGTTTTCACATTTTGCACAGCGTCTCAACTTTTTTGGAAACGGGGTTGTAAAAATAACATTAACCATATAGTCTGGCTAAATGCACTAACTCTGCCTGGTAAACAAAACCAAAACCAAAAACATTTATTTAGTTGCCATCTTTATACTTTACATGAACAATAGTATCTGCTGTCTTCAAGAGAGAAGTGGAGAGTATGGTTATTTTGTGTCAACTACAAAATGAATTAGGTCAATTTTCATTTCACTACTCAATAAATTAAAAAGATCAACCGCGCTAGTGGGACGCACAGTGCGCAGTGGGTAGCGCTGTCACCTCACAGTAAAAAGGATAGCGGCTTAGTGTGTGTTTGTGTGTTTGTGTAGAAATGGTGCTAGTTCGTACAGCATAGTGGATAACACCACTGCCCTTCATGTCTGAGGAAGGTTTTGATTCCCCGTCTGGGCAAAAGGGGAATTTTTCAAATGCTATTTCATATTCTATTAGTAATACAATTTAGCAGTTTAAATTGCATCAAATTAATGTGAACAATTAAGTGTAAATAGCAAATAGTAATATGATGCCATTTACACTAAGTGTACATAGTCACATCATTCTCGTTACATAGTGTTAAAAAGCATCTGCCAATTATTACGACAAATAAACAAATCAATAAAATGGATTCATGAGGTTTTCATATGACAAACTTAGTGGCCTGTAATCCAGAGAAGCAAGTCAATTGGTGAGAGAATATAAGAGACACAGCAAAGTACACGTCACAAAAGGAGGTAACTGTCACAAAACTATACTAACACGAGGGGATTAAAGATAACAGTGAAAAGTAGAAGGTAACCATTTCTATTGGATGACAAAAGGCCAAGCCCAACCTGTTCAATAGGAAGAATGTAAAATCTTTTGGGGAATTCTTACTGTTGCCCTAAGTTATCCATTTTACTAAGAAATCCTGCTTTGTGAAACTGCACTCTTAGAAGAGCTGGACAGCTGAAGTTTGCCCAATAGGAATGTCTCCCTCTCATCATACCGGGATGGCTTTGGTTTTGGTTTGGGTTTTGGTTTTACATAGAGGGACACAATGAAAACTGAGCCATCTCTGTATTTGCTGTAAACATGGCCATTCATCTCATACAGCAGCGCTGATGTAGACTCCAAAGTGAGATCTTCTGGTTTAAAGACTAGAAAAACACCTTTTGATGATGTATCTTGAAGGTGGAAGTGAATTTTAGAAGTGGTTGGTGTTGGTATGTTATAGTGTTGAAATTCAATAGATTTACTTTCATGCTGATTCACAGAACACGCAGAACTTATGACCATAAAAGACCGAGTACACAAATAATTTTACTGAGGCCACGAATTACTATATTGTGGCCACGAATTACTATATTGAGGCTACAAATTGCTATATTGAGACCATTAACTACTATATTGAGGCCACGAGTTGTGAGAAACTTAACCTTTTCACTTGGTTCCTGATGGTTTTGCAGTGTGTTTTGGCTTTTTTAAACAGGTTGATATCACAATGTAAAGGATCCTAATGGTTTAACAGGTGACCAATGGCTGATTCTAAACGCACTTGATGGTTTCCTAAATGGATCTACAGGTGTTCTAGAGGAAACTCTTGGTCCTTTTCAGCAGGGTCGTGGCCTCACCATATTAATTCGTTGCCACGCATTATTAGAAAACAATCATCAATCACGGCAGAGGCTCTGTACGCTTCATATGTCTTGTTCGGGATTTGCAAAACTCCCTGTTTAACATTTAGTGCACTATTTGAGTGTAGAGGCCGTAATTCCCTAAATCAGCTAGTGCACTAGATACATAGGGAGTGTGGAGCGATTTGAGATGTGACCTCAGTGAATTGTCTAAGTCGAAGTCTCGCGAGATTTTGTCAGCGCCGCGCTGCTCCAGTCAGAGTGCCCCGCGGTATGATGAAGTCGGCCATGTCGTGGTAACGGCGAGCGGAGCTGCAGGAAGACGGAGAGGAAAAAAGGAGAGAAGAGTTGAGAGCACAGAGCGGAGGAGAGGGTTTCTGAGCGAGGGACGTACCTGCGCAGCCAGAGCGGTGTTTGTGATCCGTAATCGGAGCGTTGCTGCTGCGGTTGTTGTTGTAGAGTGAAGCGCGGCGGCAGGATGAGCGGAGGCACTCCGTACATCGGCAGTAAGATCAGCCTGATCTCCAAGGCCGAGATCCGATACGAGGGCGTCTTGTACACCATCGACACCGAGAACTCCACCGTCGCCCTCGCTAAAGGTGCACATCACCGCCGCCCTGCTCGGTCTTCACCCCTGTGGCTGAGCTGGGTGGCTGTCTTTGTTTCTATCTTAGAGGGTTTTGACCATGTTGGCTAACGTTAGCCGCTAACGCTACGCTGTGATCGTAACGTTCCAGCTGCTGTTCTTCTAACTTGTACTGTATTTTTATGTTCTCGTTTCAAACGTGTAACGTGTCCTTACACTGCAGGTAATATTTCACTTACTCCTAGTTGCTTCTCTAATGATTTAAAGTTGCCCTAACATTTGTTCGTGTGCGTCATTAACGTTGTAAATCACCATTTGGTTCACTATTGGCTAGTTAACTGACTAGCGCTTCACCACGTCGCGTTTGGATTGTATGTCGTCTAAGTTACTGAAGACGTTACGAGGCTGAATTTGGCCTCTTATTCGAATTTTCCGTTCCACCTTAAGTAGTGCAGCAGTTTCATGGCACCGCTGCAACATTTAAGGTGGAACGGGAAATTCCACCTTTTAAAACACACGTTTGAAGCAAGAACATGGAATGGAGCTCCATTTAAGGTGGAACGGAGAATTCGAATGAGAAGCTAACGGCAGCTTCGTGGAAATGTTCTTAGCGTTAAGCTGTTCTAACTAGATAACTTAGCCAGCTTTAACTGGAACGATTAACTTAAGTTAGTTCAGCCAAGGTTAACTACCTTCAGCTTCTAACTACCTTGAGCTGATAACGGTTCTGTTTTGAACGTTATGTATGTATAAAACGGTACGTTTAGTTAGGAAACCTGCTAATCTGTCTTAGCTAACGTAATGCTAACATGGCTAAGTTAGCCTCTGGACGAACCGTAGGTTAGCTGCGCAGCTAATTTACAACAATACGGCAAAAAAAGGTCGCCACAAACGCAAAGTGCGGTCTGTTTTTTAGTTCCAGCTACTTAAGGCAAGCCAGTGTTGGTTAATGGTCAGTTTAAACTAAAGTAGTCTAGTTTAGCCTCAGCAGAGGCTTCACCGTGTAACCTGCTGTCGCTGCTAAGTTGAGCTAGCGGGGTTCTCTTTGTTTACTTCAGCGCAGGCCGCAGCGGCGCTCGCCGCCTCACTGGCCAGCATGATCTCCTCTGCTTGTTGTTAATCAGCTTAAACTAGTGGGAAAATAAGACTGTAGGTGGATGAGAGCAAAGGGGACCCTCAGATCTAATGCCAGACCCCCTGTTGCAGGCTTTTAGGCGCAGGCGCTGAGCTCGAGCCACGTAGGTTACACTCTTAAAGGTGATTCAGGGGTTCTTTAGAACCGTGAGCTCCACACTGTTAAAGAAAGATGGTCGTTTGGTAAAGAAAATGGTTCTATTTAGAACCATGAACACTCAGAGAGCTCTTTGCATGGGTAAGAATGTTCTTTGCATCTTGAAAGGGTTCTTTAGATTGATGGAGAATGTGCATGATTGTGCTACAGGTGGTTCCATATAGAACCTGTTTGAAAAAGGTCCTTCTGTTGTTGCAAACTTGACATCATATTAATAGAAGAGCCCTTTTGGGTGCTGTACAGAACCAGTTTTTAACAGCATGTTCTCTAAGCTGAAGAACTCTTTAATGATTCAGGTTATCCTTTAACTGTGCAAAGGGTTCTTTGTGAACATGGTTCTGTACAGAACCGTTTTATTTTCTAAAGAGCTCTGAGGAACCATTTTTAAGAATGCATAGAATCATTTCATGCTTAAATGGTTCTTTGCCTGGTGAAGTGGTTCTTCAGACTGATTGGAGAGTGTGTTGTGTGGTTCTATGTAAAACCTTTTTGAAAATGGTTCTGTCATTATTTTTTTTTAAATATTGTCTAGAATGTGAGGATCACAGGATTGCCATTTTTGGTGCTGTATACAACACATTCTACATCAGTCTGAAGAAACATTTCACCATGCAGAGAACCGTTTGAGCATGAAAGGGTTCTGTATAGAGTGGGGGTGTAACGATACTGAAACAGAGACTGAAACGCGATACAACCTTCTGTAGTCTCATGAACTCCCCCTCCACCAGTCTAAACTTTTTAAATAGGTTCTGTATGGAACCATCTGCAGCACATTCTCCATCAGTCTGAGGAACCCTTTTACCATGCAAAGAACCCTTTAATCCAGCAAAGGGTTCTTTGAGTGTTCATGGTTCTATATAGAACTGTTTTTTTTCTCTACTGAAGAACTTATTGGTGATTTTAATAAAACCCAGGATTTTTTTTCTATTTTATTTTTCTATTGTTCATCCCCCACCACCCAAAAAACAAAACCAATTATGAACTGAGCCGTGGCTCCAAAACCGAAGCCTGAACCGAACTTTGGATTTGGAGAATCGTTACATCCCTCATCTCATGGTTCTGAATAGAACCATTGCCTTTACTACTCTTGAAGAACCCCTTTATTATTTCTTTTTTTTTATTACTTCTTAAGGTGTAATGATTTCAATACAGTATTAAATTTAAACTCTTTTGCTGATATGCATCTGTTTCTTACTTTTCTGTTTGACCATGTATCATCAAAACTAAGTGTCTGGATGCATCATGTTTTTTGTAAGATGATACTTTTCCTCAAGTACAGTCTTAAGCTTTGAAATGTTTTTTTTGTTGCGTTAAAGCCGTCTCTGTAGTGTACATAACTGGAGTTTTGTAAATTCAGGACCTTAAAATTTCAAAAGTCTGATCCTGAACTAAGAATCCAAAGTTGTACTGAGAACATCGTTAATCACTCCTAGTTTGGCTGATAAAGGCCTGTTAAATGAGGTACAGCGCTGAATTCTGCAGTGATGTGGCTCTTCTGCTTTGACGGGAGTCAACAGAAATGCTCTCTCAGGATCACTCAACTTGTAAGCCAGGGTGATGGGATCTCGTAATCCTGAAGATGTAATTTTTTTTCCAGTCTTGAAAGGAGCTTCATAACTTGCTCAATAACCTGGGCGACTGAAGCTTCAGACGCATTCGGTCATGAATAATACAGGACATGACAGATGATGTTATGGTATCAGTAACTGCTGACTGCAATTTCTGTGTTTTTGTCTCTGTTTTCCTCTCAGTCAAATCCTTTGGCACCGAGGATCGTCCTACAGACAGGCCGGTCGCTCCCCGAGATGATGTCTTTGAATACATCATCTTTCGTGGGAGTGATATTAAGGACTTGACTGTTTGTGAGCCACCAAAGCCCAACTGCTCTTTGCCCCAGGACCCGGCTATTGTACAGGTAACAGTTTACTGTATACCTTAGTTTTTTCCTCCCTCCCACGTGCCACCTGACTTATTCTCACAGAATGGAGTAGTATGTAGCTATGCAAACACATTCACACAACTCCTGACTCAGCCAAAAGATCCACCTTTTTCTAATTGCCTTTCTTTTTCCTGCAGAGTTTTTGACCCAGCAAGGCAAAATTAGCAATATTTATGGCTGGGATGTCATCAACTTGTAAGACATTTAAGTGGAAGAAGGTTAAGTGGTCTCGGTGGTAAAATGAAATAGCAGCACATTTCAGTGCACTTCAGTCACTCAGCATGGATAACAGTAAATATAACCTGTTGGGACCAGTTCTGCTCCATCTCATGAGGAATTTGAGCGACATATTTCATTTAACATTGTGTACTTTCTGTGTGGTTTATTAAAAGTAAGTGAAACTTGGGACCATCGCTATGTATTATTAGCGATTGTGTAGGCTACTAATTATTTTGATGATTAAACTTCATACCTTATATACTGTATTTATAGTATTGTGTATATATGCATATATATCATTCATAGATACATTTATAATTGTGTATATATAGTTCATGTAGTTATATATTTCATAGATACGTCATATTCATGCCTGTTATTGCACTTTTGCTCTGTCTGTCTTGCACTGTTGCTACTGTTTGCACTTCTGGTAGATGCTAACTGCATTTTGTTGCCTTGTATTTGTACTGAGCTATGACAAATATCTATCTGTCTGTCTATCTATTCATCTCTCTATCTTGACTTTTTGAAATAGACAAAACAATAATAATAAAAAATGATCTTTCAAAGATTCCAGAATGTTTTATTATAAAACGATATGCTAGATGAATTTTAATGGATTAATTGTGACAGCCCTAGTGATGGTCTTTTCCCTTTCCAACAGTCGTCTCTGGGCTCGTCTGCAACTCCTTCTTTCCAGCCAGTGGGCCCCTATGCCTCTTTCACCCGGACACCTGTTCATGCATACAGCCAGTTCCCCAACCCCCTGATGCCCCAGCCCATCGGGAGCACTGTTGGCGCGGGTAAGTTTGGGATGATCTCTCCGGTGCGGAGTGCGCTCTGCCATGATGGTCAGGTTTTAGATAATAGATAAAAAAAAAACCTGACTGCTGTGGAAGCAGCTGCCCTAGCCCCACTATCTTATCTATACGACCCTTTTATGATATGATACGATCCACTAAACCTGACAGTTAACAAATAGTTTAAATCAGATGAGCAGGGAGATCACTAGACTGTGCTGGACACTGGCCCTCCAGGACCACAGCAGTATGATAGAGATTATATCTCAGCATAATAACCTGTGGAATCAGCTGTAGAATAATTAGAAAAGAACACCTGAAGAGACGTTTCTGAAGTGCAGAGAGCCTTATGAGCTGGATAACCGACCATTATTAGTTGGTCATTAAAAATTAACTGACAAACCCAAAGTCAACATCCCTAATTTAAGCATTTGAATGGTTCTTTGAGTTGTCATGGCTTCTTGTTCTTGCTGAATAATCCTTGAGGAACCCCAAGTAGCCAAACCTTGTCCTTTTTCTTTTTCTGTGCAAGGCTGCAGTGCAGATCTGTGTTGTCTGTATTTTCTCAGGAACAGATTGACTCCTTGATATGTGTGTGAGACGTTAAGAAAAAGAAACACAAAAAAACACCACACTTACAGCTGTGCTCTTCCTCTTCATGCAGGAAGTTCAGGGTCCGCGTTCAGTAACGACACGAGCGTAACCGCCCCTCTGTCCCAGAGCACTGTCCCCTCGGACTCTGTCTCTCTGAACACGCGTGTGACCGAAGGTAACCAAACCGACTAACAGGCGCTGTCTGATTGAAGTGCTGTCAGTGTTTTGGCTGCCTTTGTTTTGTTTTAAATGGACTGACCAGTGCATGCAGATGGCTGCTGTGTGATGTCCGTACTGCACAGTCTGAATGCTTCTGTTGATTTATATGAGGTGACCCAGCTTTTGGGACATTCATGCTTACAAATGGTCACCTCAGTTTCTCTCTCATTTTACATTAGTTTTTTTGCAGTGGACTTAAAGGGGCACTCTGGCCTTAAACTACTCTTCTTTATCGTGTTATGCATTGTTCTGTATCGCTTAGCCTTCTCAGTTTTACTGGATTCACAGTTTTATCACTGTCATGTTTTCTGTCACTACAATACAGATAACATACAGCGGCTGGGACGTCAGCCGATCTTGACTGCTTACTAACAGTCCAGCTACTGATCTCTAAGCTAATAAATACAACTTAGCTAGCATTATTGTAACTCTTAGTGTAACTTAAAATTGATTAAAAAAAAAAATCACAATTCTGTCTCTATTTCTCACAAAATGGATGCTGGAGAAAAGAAGGGAAACTGAGGAAAGGTTTCCACTCCATTGTGGTGGTGATTTGAAGGCAGTTAGTACAGTTGTGTGGCTGAAATATGATATTTGGCTTCTTAGCAGTGAAGCTAGCTGTCGTCTTGCCCTCTGCGTTTGCCAGCCAGTCAAGAAAAAAAGCATTTAAAAGAAGCCCATCCTCAAAAATCCACCCAAATCAGTAACACCACTAGTCTTTAATCCAGAAAGTCTCGCTCTAGAGGTTCCTGCGGCATCGCTGGAGGATGCAACTAAGTTTACAACGGATGTATTGATGGTTGCATTTATTATTTTGGCCAGAGTGTCCCTTTAAGTGGAATGGTTAGAAGTCTAGTCATGTTTATAGAAACCAAGTTTCAGCATTTATAATGACCGATCCGTTGATTGCTGATTCTGGGGTTTGCTTGCTGTTTGCGTCTTTCTTCCATAATATTGCATTTTTATTATATTGCTATGTTTGTCTTAAATCTCACTCCTACCTTCCACAGCTCGTGCCAGCCCGTCACTGGACCCCCTGCGGAAGAGCCCAACCCTTGAGCACCCAGCGCAACCCACGCCTCTAGCGCCCCCTGCTGCAACTGGCTCTGTGAGTCAGAGGAGTCCTGGAGGAGGTAGACCTGCTCTTGGCTCCCAAAAACAGCCTGCTGAGAGCCAGGAGCAGACCAGAGGTGAGAGAATCATTAAAGCCTCCAGTTTAGCTGGGAGGGATGATGTGACGTTAACTGGGAATGCTGGCTTTCAGTCATTGTTAGCTGTGTTGGCTCCTGTGTGGTCCTTTGGGCCGTACTGTAGCCAGGGGCGGCTGATATTTTCACCTGCTTGGATGACTTTAAAATCAAAATTAACAGTAGTGTATTATTGTTATTAGCTCCTTCAGTTTAGTTCTTTGGATCCAGTTCTTTGTTGTTTTCTGCGAGCTCTCCTCCTCTTTATCTCCCCACTCTTCTTTTTCAGTTCTTTTCTTCGTAGCTGAGCTCTAGTATGATGTATTTTACACATTTCTGTAGCTAACAAAGCACAACTCACTGTTTCCTTGGTATTTGCCTTTTATTTTACTCCACTTTTTATATCCATTTATTTTAAAGCTTTTGTTTACTTTGTATCCCATCTGTTTTTTCTTTCTTTTTTATTTTCTTATTTGTGTTGTAAAGATTATACCTCTGTTCTAACTCGGAGGTTTAGTACGAGACACTACTTACAACTGCAGAGATTTGTGTTTAAAAGTGTAAAACTTGCAGTGGCTGATGCTGAGAAGGCTCCCCGACCAGAATCGGACTTGGGCAAAACTGAGAACCGTGACGCCAGCAAACGCCAGCTGGGTGGTAGGTATTTTGTTCTCTCACGTTAATACAGTCTGCATCCTCCTGCCAATAGGTGTCCAGTCGTCCTTCGTGTGAGTGATGAGCAGGGACGAGTCACTCGCAGAACACGGCTTAGTTGTAGAGCGTTCTATACAGTTAGAATTGGAATTAAACAGTTAGAGGTGCACAAAATATTTGTCAAACTGTGATAAATTGTCACATTGTCACCAGATGCTTTTCTGAACGTGTGCATGTCATGAGTAGAAAAAAAAACACTTTACAACTCGTTACAAAAAGATCATAAGTGGTCCTGTTTAACTAGATTTAGTTCAGTGGAGTAAATGAAACATTGAAAGATTATTGTATTCATAGTTTTGGGTGGTGTTTTATTGTTAATCAGTTTTTCAAGCCTCAGAGAAACTAAAACTGTTATGTAATATGTTAATGCCCATTGCACAACTTTTAGTTTTGCAGATTGTTTGGATTATTTTTAGTTTATTTTGTAGTTTCTTAAAGTAATTAAGTACATTGAGTGCACTTACCTGCCTTGTGTAATTTACATCATGAAATATTAACATACCAGTTGCCTGACCAGTTGCTGGTGTGACGCAAAATTCTGCAATTCCAGTCTTGACAGCTGCTGACTGTGCATCACTAGGACACAGGCTTAATTCAGGACTTCATTGCCATCCATTCATAATTGTCACTTAGTCAACTGAACATTTGCTTCATGATAACGAAGGGTCACTCTCTCTTCAGCCGGTGCTCCTATAGTGCGAAGAGGTAGAGGAGGAGGCGGAGGAGGCAACAGCGGCAGTGGTGGTGGAAGCCAGCGTGGACGGGGCCGGTTTAACGTGCGCAGAGACGGAACAATGAAGTTCGAGAAGGATTTCGACTTTGAGAGCGCAAACGCCCAGTTCAACAAGGAGGAGATCGACCGCGAGTTCCAGAGCAAGCTCAAAATTAAAGGTTTGCAGTCTACTTGAGCAAAGCTTTGGTCTAAAGTTGAGCCAGTCTGTGGTAGTTACCTTTAAAACAGGTTTACCATGTATTTTTGCTTGCATCATAAAAGCCATCATAAATTATTTTTATGTTTTAAATAACTAAGTTCTGTTCTGTTTGACTAATAGACAGTTTGAAAGCATAATGCCAGAGAACATTTAATTCATAACATCTTAAAGAACGTTTCGTGGTCAGTATTGACGTGAAGTTTATTAGCTCGGTTATGTGTCGCCGTCACTTTCCCTGACCTGTGTGATCTTGTTACTGCAGATGAGAAAGCCGTGAACGGAGAGGATAAAGGCGACTCGGGCGTGGAGACGCAGAACAGCGAGGGCAACGTAGATGAGGAAGATCCACTGGGACCCAACTGCTACTACGACAAGTCCAAGTCTTTCTTCGACAACATCTCCTGCGACGACTCCAGGTAGGATTTCAGTTGGTATTAGAAGCCACGTGTTCTTTTGTATGAGTAGCCATTTAAATGAAGAGAGTTGGTGACTGACTTTGCTTTTCTTTCCCCATTTCCAGAAAAGAAAAAGATGGAGGTGGCAGGTATGTTTTCTACTTACTTACTTACTTACCTACCTTACCTACCCTCCCCTTACTTGTCTTTTAGATTCTGCTACCACAAAATCTGAGGCTTGAGCCATATTTAAGAAACATGTTCCCCACTCTGCTCCTGTACATTTTAGTGTTCTCCAGCACACCCAATTCTGTCTTGCGAAAGGTTGTTAAACGCTAAACTGTGCTGAGCAGCAGCACTACTGTAGAGCGAAGAACAGTCATTGTCAACAAAACACTATTTGAGCAGCTGCTGTTTACATTATGTGAATATTTTATGGACCAAAAATAAAAAAATGGACCAAACGAACTGGTGTGGAAGTACATCGAACAGTTACTTAATAGTAGGGAACATGCTAAATGGGCAGGATTGGTATTTCAGAACCACTTTTGTAGAAAAAGTTGCTTTTTTCGAAATCATTTGATTCGAAATCATTTGATTTGGTCCGTTCATCATAAAATGTTCACATAATGTAAAGGACAGCTGACCGTGTTTTTGAACCTGTGTTAATTAAGGTTGACATATCAAGGGCTGGGCATTAAATACTTTTATGGTACGGGTGGAATTGCTGCAGTTCTACAGAGCATTTTAAAATGGTCACTGAATACCAAATTAACACCTGATCAGTCAGACTTATCAGTATCAGGGAGCCAATAAGCATGCTTGTTCCAGAACCTACACTGATGATTGGTTGTCTCTATTACTTTTCATAAGTGATTATTAACGTCAGTGCTTCAGTTCTGAGCTGCCCCTTTGATTGTTCATCATATTTTTTGTATTTACATGATATCAAAAGTATTGTTCATGAATCAATATTGAAGTTATCAGTCTTTGTATAGGAAAGTGTTGAACGATACAGAGCCATGACTATACTGACAATACAAAGATTTATTTTTCTACAGTAAGACTTCAGAACTTGGGGAGAAGCCAGTGTGTTCTAGATCAGGCTGTTAAGGCAGTTCTGTGTGTTCTAACCTCTTTGTGTTCTCCTGTAGGGAGCGGAGGAAGACCTGGGCAGAGGAGAGGAGGATGAATGCTGAGACCTTTGGCATCCCCATGCGTCATAACCGCGGTCGCGGGGGCTACCGGGGCAGAGGAGGCGGTATGGGCTTCCGCGGGGGCCGGGGCCGTGGGGCCAGCCGAGGCTCTTTCGGACCCCCTCGCGGCGGTGGCAGCTCTGGCTTCAGGGGAGGGTTCAGAGGAGGCCGGGGTGGCAGAGAGTTCTCCGACTTTGAGTACCGGGTAAGCTTTTCTATCTCACCAACCAACCAAAGCTGCAGTTATTAATATTGTAAATCTGATCTTGAAAACTAGTTACTGTTGTTTTTGTTATTTTGGTTTAATTCATCATTTTTAAATACTCCAAATACACCTGGTGGTATTTACACAGTAGTGGAATATAGACAGTATATAGGAATTTGCAGGCGATGTTTGTTTAAAATAGGGCTAAAAATTGTGGCCGATTCTTTTGACCAATATCGAAATATCAGTTTCAATATCAATATCAGTTTATTAGTTTTCTACATCATTTCAACACCCCAGCTCTCCTTTATGTTGCATAAAAATTTCAATCAGACCAATAGAAATGCTTCAATATCACTTGGAATAAAATGTTTACATTCACTTAGATTGAATGGTATGTGTGTTTGCCCTCTCCTGTAAAGTTACCATATTGTTTTTCTTTGGACAACAACAATATATTATTGTTTATTCATAATGTATTTTTACTTTTATTATTATTATTTTTTTTCATTATTATTATTATTTTTTTTTAAACCAACAAGTTGTTTTTTGTTGGTTACGGCATAGTCAGTCATTCATTTACACCTCTATTTTAAAGTAGCTCCCAAAATTTAGTTTTAGCCAAAAAAGTACATCTGTTGTTAATTTTATTATGACTAGTTATAATCCAACTTGCCAGAATCTGCGCAGTTGAATCGTCACCTTCAGTCCAGAATGTTCATTTCTGATCTAGAATCTCAGGCTGTGATTCACTGATTCCTTTCTACAACTATTAATAACTTGTCTTGCTCTTTCTTTGTGCACCTTTTCCCCTGCAGAAGGAGAACAAAGTGGCAGCGTAGAGACCGTAAAGGATGACAGCGCCGGCCCCGTCAGACCGGAGCTCCACTTTTCCCTCCTGCCTCATAGAGACTTGTCTGTTTATCCATCTGTCCCAAAACCTGGACTCACACCTCCTTTCTGCTATCTCTCGCTTTTTTAGGGGAAAAAAAACAAAACCAATTTGGAAGGCAATCTTTTGATCTTTTCTTTCATATGCCCACAGAGGGGATGAGGACTTTGTGTACAAAATCCGTAACTTTAGTGGAATTATTATTATTATTAATATTATTATTATTATTATTATTCAGTATTTTTGCATCAACATTGTAGTTCCTTTCTTACAAAAAACAAGAAAAGAATTAAAGAATTGTATTTGATAATGTTCCTGTTAGGTGTACAAACGTATGCAGACACCCGCTGATACTGTGAGCCCCATCAGTGAAATAGCTTTATTTTTATTTGTTTTTTTTGTTTTCTTTCTCTAATGTATCTTATAGAAGCACCAAAACTCTGTATTATACGTACATATATATCTTGTAGGGTCACAGTGAAAGCTTGTCAGCCCTTACCGTTCAGCCGCAAGTGCAGTAGACTGCTGTGTCGTAGGTTTCGATGTGGGAGGGAACTCGCGCACTCGTTTCCACAGGATCTGTGTGGAAGGTAGGTAGGCATTTATACAGGCAGTGCTTTATTTTGTAGACGAAACTTTCTTTTTTTCTTTTGTAGTAATTATTTTCTAGTCCCCTGTATGTTTTCTAGCTGTATAGTGTGGTCCAGCCCTTTTGTAAGGTCTTATTACATGTGAGGTCAGACAACTCTTATATCTACCTGTAGCTCATCTCGCGAGGCTGACCTTGGTTCAAAATTAGCTCTTGATTGAATGTACTGATAATGCCAATGCGAATTTATTAGTAGCACACAGGGAAGAGGAGGTGTTTTTGGTGTGAACTGTTTTGATTTTCTCGTCCTTTAACGAACTATTCCCAGCTATCTTTTACAGTGCCATCATAGACAGGAAGCTTTTTTTCAGGACTGCTTTTTTTTTCCCCCCCTTTTTTTCTTTTTGTTCCTATTTTTATGAAACTGAAGATGGGTGTGCACATTTGCTTAATTTTTCTTTGATAACTGAGTGCCAGTGATTATTGCCTTTTGATGTCGATTATGTAGATGTCACTTTGTTATAGTTCAATAGGGCTCTTTGGTACCGGTGCACGTTCGCAGTCCGTCGCGGTCGCTCGCTTGAGGGTCGAGCCTTTAGAATTGTAACATTAATTTAAAGACGAGACGCTCTTACATTATTTTTTTTGTCCTCTAGCCACAGTTTTAATGCCAAGGTCTTCAGGGATAGTCCAGCACACCCTTTAAGATTGGATTGCTTTCGAAAACGTATTCATTTGCACTTTAACGATGAACGACGCCGCGGTAAGTCCATTTTTAGGAAGTACCTAACTCATCCCCTCGTTCTCTTCTCTTAGGCTGTCAGTTAGTAGCTGTAAATGAACAGATGCTCTGACGTGAAGCTAATAGATGAGTCGGTAAAGCCCACAGTGAGGAACCTTTTGTGCTATTTGCGAGGTTTTAAAGGACTTAACTCTGATGTGTAGTGTACGATGGACTCATGCATTTTGGCCTGTATGCAGGAAAAGAATAGAAAATTTGGCGCAAAACACAGTTATACCAGAGTGAGCGCTTACACGTGAGTGGGTCAGCCGTTATCTGAGCGCTCGGACATTATCAGTGGTAATCGACCACATGCTACAGATGCTGCAGATGGAGATTAGGTTAAACATGCTGGAGAATTCCTCTTTCATCTGCAGGGACACAGCTATTGGTACAGGTTCTTCCTCTGCTTATTCCGATCACTTAGGCAGACCACAGATCAGCACTCCCGAGACTTCCAGTCGGATCACCAGGATTCGCTTGACTAGATTGAACCAAACTGGCCGCGGTCACAGACGTTGGGGTTCGGTCTGTCACAGCGCGACTCTTCTGCTTAAGAACCCACAGTGTGTGATGAGTTAGCTGTGTTGCTGCCTCAGGTAGCGCGTTAGGGATAGTTGTATATCAGCAGGTGGTCGCCCTCCTTGGGAAGTGAGTTTGAATGAGTTTTTGGTTTTAAATCCATAAAACTGGGTTGGTCTGGTCAGTTCTTCTCTAAGCCATGCTATGAATGACAGGCCGTGCTTTATTGCTATTTTTTTTTTTTCTTCTTTTCCCTGAATGTCAGTGAAGCGTGTTCAGCTTCACTACCAGCGTTTGGGAATTTGGATCTGAACTGATTTTTTTTTTTTTCTTTCTTTCTTTTTACAGAGGAAAAAACTAAAAAATAAAAAAAATAAAGGATCTAAACATTGGCTAAGTGACAAGGCAGAAAATGAGATGTTTCCGAATGTTTCGCTTCGTTCCTTCTTGTTTTAATATCGATGAGATGCAGTGAGGTTCCGTGTTCCTGTTGTGGCTAATTTAATAGCGATTACCTGTGTTGGCTATAGTTTACTTCTTGTTGGCACTAAGTGACGAACCTTGCCTAGACGTCGCGTATTGGTAGGCAGCTAGACGTTCAAAATGAGCCGTTCTGATTGGACGCTTTAGGGCTTGGAGCACAGCATCGATGGGAAATGCCTTAACGAGCCACCTGAAATCATGAGTGATGGGCTGTTTGTCAAATGGCTCCCTGCTGCCCAGACAGTGCACTACATAGGGCTTTTGAACCCTTTGAAGTGCACTAGGTCAGATTTACTTTATTTTTTGGACACAGCCTTGGTAGCACGTACTGCCCTGGGGAGGAAATGTCCGGCAGCCCTGGACTGATGCAATAATCTCATTACTATTAAGGACACCCCCTGTGCTCGTATGAGATTTCAGACTGTACATAAAGTTTTCATTTTGTAAAGGTGATAAAGGATTGTTTTCTCTCTCTAAGACTTCTGGAAGAAATTTGATTGGCGTTTGTTTTTCTGAATAAAGCAATTGTACAGCATGGTGTACTTTCAGTGGCCAGATTGAGGTTTTTATTCAGACATGAGAAATAAATAGTTGTTCAAAATGTGCCGTTGTTTTTGTTTTTATTAATGCTGTTTATATCAAGTGACAGTTCTGAACAGAACCCAGCTTCCTGAGTCCGGCTGCTGTACGCTAAAAGAATGGCTGAAAGGGAAATTAAAATTACTGTGAAATGAAATGGGTGAAGTCATTCAGAGTGGTTTGGTGTGAAATGATTTCACTGTAGAGACTCATTTATTTGTGCTAAGTCTGGGGGGGAAGACTTTTTGGGGGCTTTGTTGCTACATGTACCTCTCCACTGTGAATGTACTTACAAAAAATGTTTTAAGCCAAAAAGCTTATTGGAAAATTACTGTAAAACCCACAAAGTTACTACATGAAATGGTTATGAATGTGCTGCCTCACGCCCAAGACGTTGTTTGATGATACTATTCAGAAGGTTTTTGTCCTAAAACAAAACTGTACTGGCTACTACATGTACTGCCAAACAGACCTGTTGGCTAAAAATTAAGATTTTTTAAATGGAAAGAAAAAAGCTGAGCAAAATTGATAGTTTCATTTATTTTGGGCCATGCTGAGTTGAAGATGCGTTTATTAGCTGTTTATAGGAACTCTCAATATGCAGCCCAAAGAGGTGCCAATGCAAGTGAAGGGACCATCATTAAAAAAAACAAACATAGAAACTTTAGGACTGACCAAACAAACATCTTGGTACATTCCTGAAAAAGAAGAAATGCACTGGTGATCTCAGCAACACCAAAAGGCCTAGAAGATAACTACAGTGAATGATCGCAGAAATTTTTCCGACCAAAAAAAAACCTTCACATGGTCAAGTCAAGGATATTCTAGAGGAGTCTGGCATATCATTGTTAAAGTCTACAATCAAGAGACTTATGAATGTAAATACAGAGGGTTTACCACAAGATGCAAACCACGGCCAAACTTCCCAGTTCTTGAACAAGATTCTTTGGGCAGATGAAACCAAGATTAACTTCTGCCAGAATGATGGGAGGAGAAGAGAATGGAGAAGGAAAGGAAGGGCCTATGATCTGAAGCATGCCACATCATCTGTGAAACATGGTGGAGGTAGTGTTACAGCATGGGCATTTATGGCTGCCAGTGGACCTGGGTCAGTGGTGTTTATTGATGATGTGACTGTTGATAGAAGTAGCAGGATGAATTCTGAACGTACGGAGTTACACTTGCTGCTCAGATTCAGTCACATGCTGATAGGACGGCCCTTCACAGTACAGATGGATAATGACCCAAAACTACAACGAAAGCACGAAAGAGCTTCTTAAGGCAAAGAAACTGAGTATTCTTTTCACGTACTTCAGGGAGCGACTGACGGTGGCTGCCGTAAAGGCCTGGCAAAGCATCTCAGCCATTGGTGATGCCCATGGGTTCCAGACTTCAGGCAGACACTGACTGCAAAGGGTTTGCATCCAAGTATTAATAAAAATCCTTGTTATTTGTAACTGTTAGTTTGTCCAATTACTTTTGAGCCTGTACAATGGCTGTACCTGCTGAAAAAATCCAGAACCATCGTGTTGCTGTTGGTTCCTGAAGGTTTTGTAATGTGTTTCGGCTTTTTTTAATAGGGTTGGTATCACAATGTAAAGGATATTAGAGGTTTAACAGATGACTAATGGGTGATTTTAAATGCATGTGATGGTTTCCTAATGGGATCTGAAGGTGGTCTCTATTGGAAGCCACTGAGCCAATTCCCATTAGAAAGGAAAGCTATCAGGTTTGAATCCTAATGGATCTTTTTCAGCAGGGAAGTTCCGCAATATTTCTGTTAAACCCTTGGATTAAAGCTGCAATTCTGCACTTAATTCGGACCCTGACTGCCTCGTTTCAAGTCCACTGATTATGTACAGGGCAAAATGATAAACTGTCACTGTTCAGTTACTTACACGCCTGACTATAGGTGGGCCTAGCATCGGCGGCGGGCACTGACTCTTCCACACCAGCAGGTGGCAGAGTGCGTATGCGCTTGTAGTCTACCTCTGAAAGGGAGCGGGCCGCAACCAAAACAAGACTAAGTCCTTTTCCCTACATGAGGAGAAAACTCTGCTGAAGAGCTCAGATAAACCATCAGGACTGAAACCCAGCTGTAGCCGCCCTGCGAGCTGAAACAGGACCATGTCCGTTGTTTTTGTCCCAAAGCGGCAGCGCGGGAAAGCTCAGATCAACCAAGAAACCATCCAGAGAGTGAGATCAGCCGCGGATCCTCCTTTAAACAGTTAACTTAACGTTACATTCAGCAGACTAAACGCTTAACACGCTGCTTTCCTTTCAGCTTCTGGACGAGAACGACCAGCTGGTGAGATGTATAACGGAGTACATGCAAAAAGGCAGAGCGACGGAATGCGTGCAGTAAGTAAGCCGCTAAATCACAGGCTTCGTTTCCGCCTGAGGCGCCAGAATGTAACTCTGCACCATTTAAGGTGGAACGGAAAAATTCGAACAAAAAAAAACTGCCGAATATGAGGCCAATTTCAGCCTCGACGGATCAGGTTTACGCTGTGGTACAGTCGCGGTCTAAAAACTACATTTCCCATAAAGCTCCGCTCGCTTAGGCAGCGTTAGCGGTTTGCTAAGCTGTGCTCTGGCTTATGTTACACGACTGTACCACTGTTGATTCAGTTCGGTATATTTAGCCAGCTTAAGTTCCAAAATACTGTATTTAGTTGAGTGAAAGCAGGATTTCTGTTGGCTCTGCCGTTTAGTAAGCTAACTGGCTGTGTATTTGTATGGCTCCAACACCCGGATGAAACTGCGGTATCTGATTCGTTCGCTGTCCCAGCGACGGTCTTTGGTATATGTAGTCCAAAATGAACTACAAAAAATAAAAGTCCTAGTTCGAGTTCTTTGCTTGCGGTCACTCGGTTTTTTGTTATGCATAATGCATTTTATTAACGTTATACTGTTTAAGAAACGTTTCTTCAGCTTATTCCTCCATAATAGACTGCTGGTCAGTGCCATTTGAAGTGGGCAGGCTCGGGACTGAATGTATCTGGGAAGCATTAGGTAATGTTTGTGTATGTACGTCGTAGTTGTACATGCATATGCAGTTATGTGTCATTTTTACGTTTCCCCAGAAAGCTGGAACAGACTTAAGATCTTTTTAGCCTGTTATGTAAACCATTGCAGGTGAATTCCACTGACTTTTCAAAATGTCTGTACTATTAAAAGGTTAAGATATAAGCAAGGTTATTCAGAGTGGTTTGGTGTGAAATGCTCTGTTCTTGAGAAACTTACAGAGTAAACTATTCACAGTGGTGGTGACAGGAACCAGACACCTGAAGAGTTTGTCTTCAAAATTGGCATCCCAATAAGTTTTTAAATGGAATGGTTATGAATATGCTGCCTGCTGCCTGAGACCTTGTTTTACCATAGTTTCGAAATCCATTCAGGTGTTGAGTGGCAGAATAGTCCCCAAAGAAAACTGATTATGTTCACTACATTCCATATAAAAACCCAGAAGACTCTGTAGGTTCACTGGTGGGTTTAGATAGTAAATAAAATGTCTATATTTGTGTTGTAGTCATGGCGACCCCTGGTTCCTATCACCACCACTGTAAAGACATCTGAGTCTCTACAATCAACCATTTGGCACCAAACCACTCTAAGCTGGGCTTCCTGAGAGAATATTAGTACAAAGATGATCTTAACACTAAGATACTTCTGGGAAACTCAGCCCAGAATGATGGTTTACATCTTACTGACTGAATTATGCAGAAATTCTGAACAATCTCCTTTAAACCCACTGTACTAAATGCATGTTAGCCGTCTTTCTATGAGTCACTTCGTTATTCTCATCTTTGCTTTCAGATACCAGCAGATCCTTCACAGAAACATTGTTTATTTAGGAACGATAGCTGATGCCAGCCCTGATTTGCCTGACGCCACAACGGTGAGTCCACCAAAAACCTACAACGATCTTGATCTGGTTAGTTGTGAAATCCTGTTTGGTGTCCCGCGTGACGTCATGTCACAATGCCAGTTTGTCTTTCTCTCCAGGCTCCTTGTGAAGAGGCAGCAACACCAAATGGTACCGCAGAGAATTCAGAACCACCGACTCAAAGCAGCTGACGAATGTATCCGCTTAAAGACTTCGTACTGTGTACAGCGTTTCATATCTATTTATTACTGTTATGTTGAATAAAAAAAAAAGTCCTACTTTTCCTCAGTGTGTTACTTGAGAACCAGGTGAACAGGTGAGAGGCCTTAAAAAGAGAGCATCTGAACATGTTTCTATTATATTTATTTATTTTTTTTGCATTGCTGGTACACTTGGAAATATTCAGTTGCCAGCTCTAGTGAACGATAAGCAACATAAGCCAAGCAAACCCCCTTCATGTCGTCGATCAGTGTGATGTCTTCTGTCGTATTAATCCAAACTGTTTTTAATAATTCTTGAAAGCCACTAGTAAACCATTTTTTTTGACACAGTTGATAAATGCTAAACTGAATGTTTACAGTCCAAGGTCGTTGTTGTCGTCTTTTTTTTTGTTTTGTTTTTTTTTAAAAGGCTGCAAGTTTGGGCGAGAACACAGACAAAGCAAACAACCCCTACGTTTTGATTGTGCAAAGCACAGAACTATAAAAAGATATATTTATATACAGCAAACGATTCTCTGTAAACATGGTAAGTATGTTAGTTTTTCAGAAAACATGGTCATATCATAAATACAGGCAACATTGGCATCCGCAAACATCACAAAAAGTTAACATTCTGGGCCGTTTCAAAGCAGCCCACAGCCATAAACCGAAAAGGTACGGGCTCAAAAAAAACAAACAAAAACCCAAACACCCCAATCTTATAAACGTTTTTAGTGTTGGTAATGGCGTATTTGGTAACCTTTTGTAGATATAACACATATATTTCAACTCTGTAGAAAAGAAAAATGTGCTTTTCACATCTTGGGAAAAATAATGTTTTACTTAATATGCCTATATTATGTTAACATATACAGTAAATGGTATAACATGTAAGAAAATAGAAAAATAAGATTAATACTGTCAATATTTGTACAAGAAATATATTGTATTTTAAAGGAACAAGATGTTATGTTTGTTTTTAGTGTTAGTGTCATTCTGAAAAAAAAATAGCCAATCAAAAAACAAACAAAAACAAAAAAAAACATGAAAACGTTGACTTTTTCCCCAGGGGGCATTTCATAGCAGGTTACTAGAACTCCCAGACTCCGTTTTCTTACATCAAGCACCATTCACCCTACGAACAACGCTTTGGTTGAAGGAAAAAAAAAAAAATGCAAGTGCTATAATATCAACATGGCACATAGTTTACTGCTAATGTTTTTATACTTTTTTTATTATTATTTCTTTAAACTTTGTCAGATGTTGAAAAAGTAGTGTATTTCTTTTCAAATTACACATTTGCTATGGTTACTAGTTTCTGCCGAGCCTGCTCAAAGCTTCTTCATAAAAAGAAGTAAATTATATTTATTTTTTTTCTTCCGAGTCATTTACAAGCTATGGAACAGTAGCTGGGAGCTGTGGTCTAGGTGATCCGACACGAGATTTGGCAGTTACAGCTTTTTACGACACAGTATAGTCATGGGCGGCGTCTCGTTAGCGGCCCAGGCCTCTGGATGGTTAAACAGCCATGCACGTCACCCAGTCCACCCCCGAGGAACACGCCGAGTCGGATAAGTCGCCTGCCTTCCGCAGCCAGGCCGAAGGAACCTAGAATCTGGAATTCTTAACGTTAAATTCTATTATTACTATTTTTTTTAATTCCAGAACTGGAATTTTACAGAATTCCAGACTGCTGAGCGGAGTGTTCAGTCGAGCTGTGGAGTGGAAGCTCAAGCCACAACTTGTACTAGCTGCTAGGAAGCATGAATCATGCACTGGAACGGCGCGAATGGCAGTTAGGACGATTCCGTCGTAGCCGGGGGAGGAACTCGCGATCTAACGAATACAAAATTGCCACAACGTTCAATACAAATTTTGCCTATAAAAACCACACTCGTCTAAAGAACTATCAAAATGTACAGGTTGGTAGTCAGTAAAGGTCGAGAAGAACGTCTCGGCTACAGTTTTGTACTAGGCCCAAGAGCCAAACAGTGAGATGGCGCCCACCTGACCTCGTACGTTAGTCCTGTCCAGCTTCGAACCCTTCAGCTGGAGTGACTAACATGGCTCCTTGGCAGATGGGCTTGTTTAATCAATTTGCTCTGCAGCATCCCACATTTTGAACGCGCCCCTAGCACTGTCCGCTGCCAACATTGGTTCCAACCTTGGCATACCGAAATGGCCACCCTTAATTGTTGATCTAGGACCAGTCTAAAGCCTACGCGGTCCTAATCTTGCACTATTACACTCGAAACGTAATCCCTGGACCTACAACAGCGATTACAAGGCAACTTGCAGCAGTACTAGGCCGGCTCAGTACTGGTGCAGGTACGACGGCCGGTGTTCGGGTTTCAGCGGGAAGTTTTTGAAGCCTTTGCTGAGCGCTTTGTGCTGCGAGGCTTGCTGCTGCTGCTGCTGCTGCTGCTGCTGCTGCTGTTGCTGCTGGGCGAAAGGGAAGCCAGAGGAGAGGCCGCTGGAAGGAGTGCAGTCGTTGGCTGTCGACCACACGGGGGATTGCAGTATTTGCATGGAGTCACTCCACTGGCTGGAAGGGATGGTCATCTGATAGAGGGAAGAGCTGGGATTGGGCATCGTGTTCGAGTGGGAGGAGTGCTGCCACGGCGCCTTCGGGGGCCATGTTTTAGTTTTGCTATCCTGTAATGCAAAGGAAGAGAGCGTGAGGATTCATTTGATAGTAACCGAAGAACAAAGATGAAGGATATCCGGAAGTACACTCGATTTCCTATTTCCTCCCAGTTTTGGGTTTTAGTGTGAAAATCTAAATTACTGACATGTAAAGAGGAAACATAACTCATGTGCTGTACTTCTACCAACCGGCTTTGATTTGCCACACGAGCAGATGCATTTCAACATTTCAAAACCAGTAGAAAACCAGTAATAAAGTGGTTCAGAAGCATTTTCCGACAGGGTTAGGATGATATTCGATTCCACTTCAGCTCTGACCAGCTGAAATTTGCCCTGAATGTTTGACTCAAACCCTTTAAAGTCAGCCTGCAAATCAAAACAGACCTTTTCTAAGTTTGTTAGTTCATGTCGCATCACATAACAGAGATGAGTCCAGATTTCTCGAGTATTCGAATAAGAACCATAAGAAGTCCGAAGTGGGGAAGTGAAGATCCTACGTTTTACATTATGGTCAGCGTTTATCTGTTTAGTCCAAAGAAAGAAGCATAGAAAACGTACTGCAGCCATCAAAAGGCTACCGCGTACCAGACGAGAACCTCCGTGCTGCACAGCAGAACGTACGACGTGCAGCTACAGCACATAGGAAAAGCAGTTAAAAGATTAACATTAAGCTCGAGCTCGTTCTCCACTACTACTTTAATGGAACATAACTTTCAACATCGTTTAGTGAATTTGCTGTTTGGTGTCAACCAACTTCACAAACTCCCTGTTTTAGCTGAGGTGAACACATAAGTAGAATTTGTTTATTTTGAAGAATGGACACCTTTCTCTTCAATTCACGGCTCACGGAGGATTTGTGCTACATGTTTAGTATCATACAGTAATAGAGAGACGCCGAGTGGTGTTACTGTTCTGCTCGCTGTCTCCCGACACGTCCAGTGTGAAGGAGCCAGTAGCCTTAAGATTCCCATACTTTTTTCTAGGAATGCCTTATAAAACTTAATATTAAATGTAATGGAAAAGCCCATCCCTATTAGGGAAATGGGGAAAATGAACACAATAACAGCTCATGAACTGCCTTTAGATGAGTCAGACTACTAAGAATCAACCCATGTGCTGTGTATAAGACATCACACCCACAACTAACTGGCATTTAGTAATGTAACGTAACCCATTACATTCAGCGTTTAAGATTCAAGCCAGAAAAAAGCAGATATGCTGATTTTCCCGGTTAAAGAAAAAATTATCATATATCAATTTATAGAAATCAATTGCTATTTAAACTGCAGTCACAATATTGGTTAAAAAAAAAAAATCACAATTAGCCTTTTTCTTCAAATCAACATCCAGTAGTGGGCAGCGTAACAAAATATTAAGCAACAATATAAAGTTTTGTCTCCCCCTCTCACCACACCCCACCCATCAGGGACAGAAAGCGCACAGCTACCTCAGAGACCCTCCCTGATGACGCGTTTCACTCAGAGATACGTCAAGGTTTGGAAAGAAGCACATTATTTCCCATTCACCTTGACTTCGAATGAGGGAGTGTGAAGGCTGGACTCATTACCTGGTTATTGTCATCGCTGGTGTGATGGAGAGGAGGAGAGGGCAGCGTACACACTTCCTGCTCACCACAGCTGTGCTTCCTACACACAAGGACAATAACAGTTTAATGGTTTAAAACATGTTGTGCTTTTACAAGTAATATCAACAAACCTATGTGGGCAGATTATCTGTTATTACATTTCAGACTTTTTCCGACACACAAAAGGCTGATAATCACAAATCACTTTATATGTGCAGACGTATGCAAAAGTTTGAACGCGTCGCCCCCAAATTACATCTTGAACAAAATTAAATATGGCATTTTCTGCACATTTTAAAGCACAATTTTATTTATTTGCTAAGTTTAACATATTGGAAAAATTAAAAAATATAATATATGATATTATGACCCCCCGTTGTAACGTTCCTGAAGTATGTCGGCTGCTGTCTGCTTTTTTGTGTCCATGTTGTCATACGTGCAGGTCTGCGACTGGCCACACAGGGGCGCTTTTCAGTATACGCGGTTGTTGAGCCACAACCTGGAGAGACGTCTCTCTCCCCTCTGATGTGACCTGAAAATACACCTATCTAGACCAGACAGGCATGACTCGACACTCTTCGCTTCTCTTGCTTTGTTAAATTTGTGCGATCATTGTCGGCGCTTGTGAAATCCACAGATTCTGTTAGACCTTGTGAAACTACATTTCTGAGGAAACTTGGGGTGAAGTGCCATTTTCTGGCTGGTGTTTGGTCTGGAGCGGGCGTGGGGACAGAGCCCACTCATTTTATATTGCTGTCTCACCCTAGACCGGGTCATAACAATGTGCCATAACTTTTATTTAATTCCCCATACATGATTACTGGTAGATTACTGTTGTTTGCTCTACTATATACACTTATGTATATAGCTTGCCCCTACATAGTCTGTATGTTGATGCTATATTGTGTATTGTCTGCAAATAATATGTAAATTGTCTGCATATATTACTTGTCCATATATAGTCTGCATATTGCCTGTATACTGTCTGTAAATAATATATACATTGTCTGTATATTGCATGAACACTACAGAAACACCAAATTCCTTGTGTGTAACATACTTGGCCAATAAATCCGATTCTCATTTTACAGAGGCCACATTTTATACCTCCCCCTCAAAATATGCTGAGTAACTATACATTAAAATGTGCAGAAGTGTGTTCTCTGGACCTGTTCACTTATTTTTACTTAGAATTTCAACAATAAATATGTGAAAAACAGAGAAGCCCAAGCTTCTGTAAATACAGTTGTAATGTCCAGGCCTTCACTGTCATGGGGACTTTTTACCGTCTTGGTTTCACTGCTGCTACCAGGTCAGGGCCGGAGAACATGGAGAACAGGCTGTCCCCATTGGCTGAAGAGGTCTCGTCACTCGAGCTGGCCGAGTCCCCCTGATTGGCTGACCAGGTACTGTTCACCGCCTCCCTGCCCACAGAAAGGGAAACCTCAGTAAAACTAACATTTCAAAACATACTTTCTAAACAGTCTAATAAAAACGTCTGATCGCTTCATTTGGAAACCACGAAGTACACGGCACTTCAGAAGCATTTCTCGCCAGGGGGGAAATATTAAAATGTGACATTTTGAAGATGTTTTCACTTATAAAATGTTTCAAAACTGACACCAGGAGGAACAAATGTGAAGAGACCACAGCGGCCTCAGAGTGTCATCAGTATGGCTGTGATTGGACTCTCTGGCTGTCGCTCACCCTTCACTGTAGTACTCTGGGTGGGACCAGGTTCTGTGCTGGTCGTCGGGGAGTGGCCAGTTGCTGCGGGCGTTGCTAGGGCGACGGACATGCTGCGCCTGCCGCTTCTGCTGCATGGCCTGGTTGACCCCAGCAACATAACGTGCAAACTCCGGATCTGAGCCAACTGAGAGAGAGAGAGAGAGAGAGAGAGAGAGAGAGAGAGAGAGAGAGAGAGAGAGAGAGATGAAAGGAAAAAGAGAACAGGGGTGTAAATCTGTGACCTCAGAGATTTGATTTGATTATGATTTTTGTCTGATTCAGTGCGTGAAACTAAATTATTTTGGGATGATTCAGACAAAAACAATACACAGAGGCTTTTAACATCTATTTACATCTGTAAACAGCCAAAGGGCTCCCACTCATGGCCACAAAATGAGCACATACTTTATATCCATTATTAAAATGAATCAGTTCTAAAATTATTTTAATTTTATCATTATTCTAATCAATTCTAACCTTCCCAAATCCATGCACACTAGTTTCCAGTTTCCACCTTCAGATCTACAGACAGAGGGCATCAAGGAGTGATTGAAAGGGAGAGCGAGAGAGAGAGAGAGAGGGGAATTCAGTCGGGCATGCTCAGCTCTTTTTGAGCTGCCGTGTTTAGCCCTGAAGCTCAGTCTCTTTATCCAGACTGCCCAGCACAGCACAAACGCACAATGGAGCCGTCAAACACACAAAGACCTGCACTGCAATAATGAGAGCTCTGCTAAAGCACTATAAAAACAGTGAACACGCACAACCGTACCCATGTCCGACTGTAAAGAGATCAGACACCGACTTAGACCGTAAACATTACACACTCATTTCTTACCATACGGACACACATTCCTCTTAACTGTACACAAACACACAACACTCGATGTGAAAACACGTCACTGAAGTCCTGAAGTCCCATATAAGGTATACAGGAAATATGCAAAAAGGTTATAGTTCCTGTATTCGAGAGCTTGCTTGCTCGTATGTATGATGTATGTGTGTGTGTGTGTGTGTATGTATACACGTGTGTATGTATATATATATACACACACACACACACACACACACACACACCTCTATTTTTGTCTTTTTTCAGGCTTCCTCTGAGACCTGTGAAGTGCTGGTGCATCTTTTCGAACTGCCGCTAACCCAACATCATTGGACAGCTGAACGCGCTCGGAGGAAAGCGCCAACCTCCAGTTCTGTTACGTCATCACCATACTGGGTGATTGGGGGCCATCCGACCCACCCAGAGGGGAAGTAGCATCACCAGGGATCGAACTCGCGATCTCCTGATCACAGGGTCAACGCTTAGACGGTTCCGTAAACGAAGTAACCCCAGTACACTTAGAACAGAGCCGGCACAATAAAAGCTGTCTGCAGTCCTGCTCACTGTGAAATACAGTGGTTTTAACAAAAAATGTATACAGTCTGTCTTTCGATTCACCGCTGCTGAAGTTCAGACAGCAGCAGCATTTCAGCCAGACTGTTCTGTACCGCTACAGTAAGCGGCTCTCTAATGGTGTGCGAGTGTCACTAATGACTCTCCTGCTCTGGGGGAAATGTGCTGAGTGTCGAGCAGTGAAGTAGTGGTCCTGCTCTCTCTCCACTCACTGACACACAGCGCTCACATACAGATCCTGACCAGCTACATCCATATTTTACATTGTACTGGTGTTGATTCACTCTCCACTGTCCAAAGTGATTAATTCGAACAGCGTGCATGGGAACTGTCCTCATCACGACCGTCAGCACTGAAAAGCTGTCAAACGGACGGAGCCTCAAAGGCGTGAGAGAATCCCAAGTCTCAGAATTTGTTAATACTGGTCAGCACATCAGACTAGGATGTGATTATTAGAATCTACGGCTATTTAAACTCAGTTAGCCGTATTAAAATGTGACTAGCCTACTGCACACTGCGTCATTACAGACTAGAGGTGTAATGACTCACAAACTTCAGAGTTCAATTCCAGACAATACAGTGGGGTCTCAATTCGATGCATTTTTTGATACAAAAAATGTCTTTCGATACAGTAAAAATGATAGAAGTACAACATTTGAAACAAAAGTTTAGTGCTTTGTAGTGTATCTAATGCTCAAGTCACAAGCTCATATGTTAGCCCCAAGTTAACACACTAGACACAAACTAACATACTCGCCACAACACGATACACTGCGATGCAAAAATAAAGTTTCCGAAATGCAGATCACTGGCGCTTCAGTCCTTAAGGGACTGTCTAAACCAGGCATGACAAACTGGGGACCTTCCGGGCCAAAGTGCCGCGCAGATTAGCATTCAGCCTCATCTAACGCTCTGAATACAGTTCATGAAGGCCTTGCTGATTAGCTGATGAGCTGAATCAGGTGTGTTTAAGCCTGTTGAAGTGTGCAGTGTTTCAGCCCGGCAGGACTGGATCAGACACTTGGTCTAAACAGCACATATTTCCACGTATTTAGCTAAAATAGGCCAAATCACAGCAAAATCACTTGCAGTAAAGAGAAAGCCTTCCTTTAAGCCTAAAACAAATCCCAGTTGAATTAAGCCACTCCCTCTACAAGTGATCTGATGTGGTTTTGCCTTCTTTTACCTACATAGAAGGGAAGTAGAACTTAGAAAGACATCATCATGCACTGTTTAGACGGTCCCCAAAATAACTAAAGTTTTGGTGATGTGCGTTTCTGATCCATTACGTTCAGCAAAATTTGACAAAGGATATTAACTGTAATTTGTTTTGTCTTTCAGGAGTGAAAAGGGGGAGGTTTGCTCATTTTTGGACGTTTACTTCCTGAGAAATTAAGGAGAGAAAGTGGAACTTCCAATGTAAACCCAACTGCACTGAGGTGTTAGAGATAGAGCCACACAGCCCATCTTCATCTGTGTTCGGTTTCTGGCTAGCTCCAGTTTGTTTAGCGGTTCCGTCTTCAAAGCTTCATAACCGAAAATACTCGTCTTCAGATTATGACCAAATGGTCTATATTAATGAAATTTTCTAATGTATTCTTAGTCTGATTTGTATGCAGCAAAGCAGAAACGTACTAAGAGTTAGCTACAAAGCAGGTATTACTTACCAACAAGCGCTCAGTGGAATCATACAAAAAACTAGAAAGCTTGTCCACCAATCAGACTGTGCCATCAGAACTAACATTTACAGAAGTGCAATATGTTGTTTTATTACATCCCCTATTACTGACACATACCATAGAACATAAAACATGACCAGAACAAACTAAACTAGCGCAGACTTAATTAATGACTATGCGGCAGCCAAGCATTATCACTCACCTGCAGGGTCAAAGGGGATGGTGTCCCCCAGCACTCCAAACACTCCTTGCTCGCTCTGCTCTCGATTAGGCCAGGTGTTGTTGCGCGGCCCCGGCGGCGCCTTGTGGCCCAACATCTCAGACACCATGCTGTCCATGTAGGTGCTGACCAGCCCCAGGCTGTACAGGTCTGAGCTGAGATCCGGGAGGCCAGGCGTGCCCCATTGGGTCATGTGTCCAATCGGGGAGAGCCCTGCTGGTGGGCCCTGGGGCCACTTGCTGGGGGCCCTCTGCTGGGTCAGAGGCTGGGGTGGCGGGGGCTGCTGGGAAGGGAGCTGGGGGGATACCGGCGGTGGCTGCTGAGGTTGCGGCTGGCCGATAGGCTGCAGGAGGTGCTGGTAGTACTGCAGTGTTTGAGGTGAAGGCTGGGGTTGGGCCTGGGGCTGCGGGGGTACTGCTGTCTGCTGTTGCTGTTTGGGTGTAGAGGGGAGCTGAGGTTGCTGCTGTTGTTGTGGTGGTTGGGGTGGTTGTTGCGGTTGTGGTTGGGGCAGAGTTTGGACCAATGGGATGGCACCGTGTGGAACCTGCGCCTGCGAAGTGGGTGGAACCACCGCACTGGTCGTCTTCAGGTCAGCCGCATTCGTAGAGGCCACAGAGTTCCTTCTCTTTACCAGCGGCGAGGCCTGCTGGGACTTGCCCATGTTGAAGCCAGACAGAAAGTCGATCACGTCCTGCATCTCCTGGTCCGTGGGCAGGTTCATGCCCTGCTCGTCTGGGCTCGAACCATTGGCGACCTGCTGCCCAGGGTCAGGGGTGCCAGGCATGCTCATCTGGAGCAGACTGTGCAGCCGTCCATCACCCAGCGTCTTCGGCTTATCGTCCTGGCCGCTGTTTCCAGCACCACCGGTGGCCAACATGCTGCGAGAGGGCGTGCTGGGGATAGAGTAGCTGCCACCGGTGCTTGAGCTGGAAGAGGTCTTCTTGGTGAATTTGGAGGTGAGTTTGGAGATAGTCTTGGGCAGGCCGCTGGATGACTTGGTGCTGCTACCAGGGTGGAGCTCGGCAGGGACGCCATAATCAGATGTGTCCCTCTGAAGCTGGATCTGAATGGTGGGCAGGGCTTGTTCCCTGAGGATAAACAATACAAATACATTAAAACAGGGCAGCCCAAACGTAGGGATGGCTGACAAGCTCAAATTTATTATAAAAATATAAAACTTTTTTCCACTATGCCGACAAAAACAATATAATACTGTGATAAACATATTAATGTTGCTATTGTTAACAATAATAATACTGTCAAGACATCTACCCATTATACTAGGCTTATAGCAGTGTATAATGTAAGGTAATACGCATTTTAATCAACAGAGTGGCAGAAAAAAAAAGTGAAAAAAGCAAGCATATCACAGATCACAGTTCCCTTTGTGATCTGTGTTAAGTATAATAATTACTTAAGATGGTCGTGTTTAATTTGTCTCAGGACTGAAGCTGTATGAATCGTCCTCTCTTCAGGTTAAGTCGTTAACTCTAGATTGGATGTCACTTATGTATTATCGACAATGCAAATTTGTGTTGATTTTTCAATGCTGACATTCACAATAATGATCAATAATTGTTTCAGCTGTACATAAAATGGAATTACAATATTTTAAACCACGTCAGGGACAATGTTACTTTAATGACCATCGTATCTTGGATATAATGCTTATAATCTATCAATTACATTGCTAAAAATATTGCCAAAATGGAACAGCAATCTAGTTATACCAATACAGTATGTACACTATGAATTGCCCAGCACATGCTTTTTGTTTTTTTTTGTTTTTTTTTTATTCATAAAAACATGAATGATTCTCTCACTGACGTCTAAACGTTGACCCCATCATTGGGAGATTATAAGTTAAATCCTTGGTGATGCCACATGCCATCCGTGCCTGAAGTTCAAGACAGCATGACCTGCCTTGCTCTCCCTGTTTGGGTAGGATGTTCCTTCTTCTCTCCCCATCACTCAGCATGATGCTGGCCAATAGGAGTCGGTTAGCCGACATAACAGACTTACAACAAGACTGCCCGAAGCTTAGTGATGGGTGATATAAACTCAAATTTATATCACAATACTTTCCGCTGTGTGGACAAAACTAACATAATGCTATGACACACGAGTTAATGTTACTATTACCAATAATAATAATATTAATAATAATAATAATGAATTATTTGCAATATTTGCGAAGTGTACTGCTCAGCAGCAGCACATTATGTAATGTTTACCTGCATTTTAACCAACAGAGTGCAAAAAAACTACAAAAAGAAGTATATTACAAGTGCGCTAATGTAATAGTTCAAAACGTGGTTCTTTTTTGTTGAGGTTAATAATTGTTTGAGCTGTTCAGGTTTAATTTGTCTTGGGAGGCTGTCTGTGGTTCGCTGTTCTTGCTCTTATCACGATATTGTACAATACTGTAAAATCCCCATCATGGGACACTGTCATGCTGGAATTCTCTTTAATAACAGAAAACTCCCCACAGACACCCTGAACCCTGCAGATACAGCTGGATTTCATCTTGTTTCATCTGGTATCAGTTCCTTGAAATGTGGTGCAATATCTGAGCACCTCCACATTACAGTCAGGGCGCAAAGATTAAGATAAGAAGAAAAAGATTTTTATTTTTATACCGAAAACGCAGCACAAATCAACAATGTTGTCTCAGCAAGTTTTAAATGAGGAAGTCAGAGCTTGTGCAATGCCTATAGATCAGTTAGACCAATCAGAAACAACCCCCCCCCACACACTAAAGATACATTTAAAAAATAAACACAGGCCTGGACCTCAACTTATAGAAAATAATCGCCATTTCAATCACACAATATTGGTCTGAAAAATAGCAGTTACATATTTTCCCTCATTTCCCTAAGTTTATTATCTAAACATATCGTTGCTGTCGGAGGGAAAACCTCGTATCTCCATTTTTGTCGTTTTTCAGTTTTTGACACTATTTAAAAATGTCTGTTGTCCTTTACATTCTGTATAAATTTCAGGATAAATGGCCCAAAAGAAATGGACCAAAATGACTTTGAAAAAAGTCTGGTTCTACTGACTTAAATTAAAAGTTAGGTGGTTTTTTCCTTTTCCTGTAAAGGTATCATTTCGGAGATACAAGGTTTTCTTCCGACAACAGCGACATGTAAAGCAACAGGACATATTCAAGGAAGTGCTATATCATGAATAGAGCTTCAGCTGAAATAAGATGTCTCTCAGCACAGCGACCAGAACAGAGGAATTGTGGGATATAGGGCAAGGCGAGTGCTTTCAGACACACTGGGGGATATTACCATAAATCAGCTTCCTTTCTGGCCTGGTTTCCAAACTGGGCTAAAAGAGCTGAGTCAGCAGACGGCTGAGCACTAAAGGGAACGGATGGTTATGCAGCAGTGCGTTTTTCAGGACTGGGAGGAAACCATGTCCTCATAAAGAGCGTCCTCATCTTTCCAACATAACAAGAGGACATGGCAATGACCTTGACCCAACCAAACCACAGCACTTTAATCTACAGATGGTACGATACCACTTCTTCTTTCTCCATGACCAATACTGGAACTTTGAGTGCATTTTTTTTTCTCTCTCTAAAAATGAAAACAGCTATTTTTAAGCACTTCACTTTTTAAGGGCTGATGTTCTGCAATTTCATTTTCCCCCTGAGGTCCACTTAAAATGCTTGTTTAATGCAGTAAAAACTGTCCTAATTCATTTTCACATTACTGTTTTCCAACCTCTCTTAGAATTAAACAGGCTGGTTTTGCTGTCTTTCAGACAAACTTATGTAAATGGTCACTGTTCTGATTAGCTGCCCTGTGCACTGTATTCAAACAGCAGTCTGGACTGAAACACTCCTTATAACTTCAGTGTTTGTAGGCGGAGCTAAACTGCAGTAGGCTGAACAGGCAGATATATGTTAATGTGTTGGGGAACGAATGGTATGTTTTTCGCACTACATCAAGCTTTTTAATAAAAAAAAAAAAGGGTGAAAAGTGTTTTTTTCCCTTTTAATATTAAACAAATCCTTCTAAAGGAACTACAATTCTATTTGTATAATGCTTAGCTAGACAGTCATTATTATTATTAGTTATTATATTAAAATTATTATTAGTGTTAACATCAATGTTATCACACAACCTATTTTACATTCCATTATGTTGTCTCACAAGCAATCTGATGCCATTTCAGACTATTTTGTCACAAAATGGATCCATTTTTTCCGTCTGGCCTTCAATGTCTGATCCAGAATTTCCTGCTTTTCTTTAGTTTAACTCCTTAAAATGCTTAAATGACTCGTCACTTTGTTGCAGTTTGATTTCAAAACATACAGGTTCTTTTAAGAATCATAAAAGTGCAGCAACTTTTTAACATAATGATGAAGATTAACGTGATGTTAACCGTTTCGGTTCTGAGACTACGGAGGACATCAGCTGGGTCTAGAGACTGTCACAGCAACAGCAAACAAATCCCTCACACGCAGAGTGTTTGATTAGTATATATCCACAAAGGCACAAAGCATCTGTTTGTGTCTTCCCTGTTCTGAGTCACCTCTAATAAAATCCAGTGAATTTTCAAACCCTTAAAGAGTAGAATCTGCTGTGATAAAGCAGGAAGACCCTAAACTGTGCAGTGCTGCTGTAACAGAGGAGAGAAAGGCCACTGACTTGCGCTCCTTCCAGCGGTTGAGGTCGAAGACGGTCGTGTAGAGCACGTCCACCAGGCCGAGGGTTTTCTCAGGGTCCAGACTGCGCTGCAGCAGAGACATGGTGGCCGGGTCCTCCTTCAGACACCTGGCATTTCAGCGACATTCAGTTAAAAACCACATAATTCAAAGTTCCTTTACAGTCATGCCTCTAAAAGTCAAAGTCAAGTAGTACAAATGAATAGAAGTGTATGTTTCAGCTGCAGCTGCAAGTGGAAGATATCTAGACACAAATTTTACAGCTCACAGTCATCACAGCTAAATACCATACATCTTTGTCCTACTCCTCATATGTCTATACTTCCTGTTCCTCTGCCTTGCATGTTTTTGTACCCTAACAACTTCTGTGCTTGTAAATTTTTGGTTACTATGTAATTTTTATCATTAAACTAACAGAGACTGATAAATCACACTGCAGAAATGCACAAAAAACACAAATATAACCTTGTCCAATAAAAAAAAACAAACAGTTAAATGGTTCTGAAGGAGTGAAGGAGTGCTGCTATTTGTGTAAACCGTATTTGCAGCACTTCTGAGCATTAAAAGCATATAAAGAACAAAATTTGGTCCAAACATCTTGTTTTACAATAAAACCGCAGTCAATTTAATCAAGGACAGTGTTTATAGACTTGCTGGCGAAGCTCTGCAGCAGATATACTTTGTCCTAATCTGACCGTATTACTTGGCTCAGTATTTTCAGTAAAAAATATGAAGCCACTTGTTAAGTCTAGACAGCTCCCAATAAACAAAACAGACTTCGTGCAGGTATGTATAAAGAAATCGTCTATTCATCACTTAATTTAAAGCATGCTGTCCAAACATATCCAGTGCTGCAGAGTTTTACTCACCATGTGGAAGGGACCTGAACTACAACCCTGGATCCTTCTAGAGTAATCTGGGGGGCATACGCCTCCTTATTCTCTATCTGAGCCGTGTCCACCACAACCTGCACACAAACGGAGAGAGACAGCTATATACGCACAGTCTTAACAGTTTACAAAAACATACTCATGGTTATTACCAAAGGTTTATTTATTACCAAAGATTTAAACCCTATGGAGAATATCAGGTCTCACATTAAACACAAAGTAGCTTGGCTATGGTTTTCAGCTGTATGAGACCATCAATGCTGGGTGGAACATTATTGACTCTTCTTTCTGTAAAAGGCTGTCTGCAGGTTTCACCACAACACTTCAACACTTAAAGAAATCAAATGGAAAAGCTATACAGTGCTAAGTTACTTCATCTATTTCTATCGATTAGTTCTTGCTAATTTACTGACTAATAATTTGTTGTTAAGATGATTAAAAGCTTAAATGTTCTGCCATTTTGGGCTTGGCCCATTTTTTTGGCACAGGAGTGTATATACATATAACCTCCACTGTTTTTTGTTTGTTGTTGAGATGTCATTCAGAGTGGTTTGGTGTGAAAGGGTTAATTGAAGAGACTTATCTTTCTTTACAGTGGTGGTGATGGGAACCAGGGGTCACCATGACTACAACACAAATACAGCCATTTTATTTGCTATACAAAACCACCAGTGAACCTACGCAAGTCTTGAGTTATGGAATGCTAATAATGGTTTTCTTTGGGGACTATTTTGCCTCACAATGCCCTACGTGTACCTCTCTGCCATGAATCCATTTAAAATTATATATTAAAGGCCTAAAACTTTTCAAAACATCATAAAACTAAATAAAAAATGTCAGCCAGTGAATTCATAACCACTTCATGTAGTAACTTTCTGTGAGGGAGCTTTTAGAGGTGGACGTCTGGTTCTTATCACCACCGCTGTGAACAGTTCTGACTCGGTAAGTTTCTCTAGAACAGAGCGTTTCACACCAAACCACTCTGAATGACTGTTTACATCCCGACTGTTTAAGAGTGCTGAGATTTTAGGACTTTCTTACATATATACAAATTTTCTTCTGAAATTTACTAAGGTGGAACAAAGAAGAACCAAGAACAGCCACATTTAAACAACAGCATCAAAAACTATGAATACAGTGGTTGTTATTCACTGTTTCACATCTGGCGCTGCACTAAATCCAATTTACCAGGACTAATTATGTTCTCTTTCTAACAGAACCTGCAGTCTATCACTGTCCTTTAAATTATGAATATTTATGATGAAACACTGTCCTTTTGCTAAACTGTTTATAAGTTGTGTAGTGTTCATTTGTTTAATTTTTCCAATCAATAGATCAACTATAAAACACTACAACAACAGTCAAGACCACAGCGAGCATCACCACAGTTTACATACACCAAAGTCATTACTTGTACACGGATTTCTCTTTAAGCCAAAACAGGACATTTCAGTTCTCCAACAGACATTTTTCCGTGTTGTTCTTTGAAAGAGGCAGCAGCTTCCGCCCTCAGCAAACTGGAGACACAGTCCAGCACGAGGGAGGGGACGGTGCTTTCCTGCTGGACAGGAACTGCTCTATTGTTATTTATAGAGCAGGTGTATCCTCAAAATCCGGCTCACCATGGCAAAGCAGAGCCCACGTCACAAATTCACACTCATACACACAGCGTACAGCTGTGAGTTTCATTGTTTTACATTTCTTTTTAGGAAAGCTATTTGTAACAAAAGATAATACTGAGGACCACCGGGGGACTTTTACTTTTATTTTTAAATGGGGTAGATAACAAAGTCTATATATGGTTGTAGTTTAACACCTGTGTACAAATTTTATGTTTTGCTGATTTTCTAAGTGAAAATAAGGTTAATGTATGAGACCTCTGCACAATGAGACACAATTACTGTTTGTTTGCTAACATATTAGGGGAAAGCAAAAAACAGGTAATACAATAACATGGCATGTGTAAAAGTTACAGCATATTTTATATATAATGTTTTTTTTTCCATAATGTAAAACTCAGTAAATAAATAGAAATGTACCACAAAATGTAGAAAAATGCCTAATTAAAAGGTGCATTTCTCAACCAAACCACTCTGAATGATTCTGTATGATTTTGAAGTGATTTTGAAGTGCAAAATCGGTGGAGTTCCCCTTTAAGGTCTCTGTAGAGGTGTTAACTTATTTTCACAGTTTGAGCAGTGTGTTCGAACTTCTGCCTACAACCGTCTCTGAATTTGGCTTTCCTCAATAACCAGAAATGAAAGTAGGTTATTAATAGTTCAAACTGTTTTGAACTATTGCAGTGTGGGAGGAGATGATCCACAGCGGGCGCTGGCTCAGCACTCACCAGTCCGGCCTGTCCGAACAGCAGCTGCACGGCGGTCTTGCAGGCTCCTCTCCAGCTGGAGGGGCACACGAGGTTCAGCACCTCTGTCACAGGGGAGTCGTCCCGCGGGGAAACCCCGTTCTGCCCCGACGCCTCCTTGATCAGCTGCAGCATGGTGTGCTAGAAAAGGAGGGAGAGAGTAAATGTAACTGTAAACATCAAACATGATTACCTCCTTTGGCTACATTCACATTAAAAGGGAGGACCTGGCACATATCTGATGGCTTTATTCAAACAGGCAGCTCACATCTGGTTTGAGAAGGAACGATTCTGCACAGTCTGAACACAAAACACAATAAATCAGACTTTTTCCCCACAATCTGGTTCAGTCCAACAGATTCTAAAAAAAAACTGGGCGTCTGACACTATACGGCAGATTTTTTTGGATAACAAATATCAGGGATCACACACTAAACAATTAGGGATCACATATTACTCCTACTCAACCTTTCAGCTGCTGCTGAACCGAACGGAACTCACTGAATTCACGCGAACTCTTGTGAACTCTCGCAAACTGTTGCGTTCTCTCGTTACTAGGAGACCCAAATAAACAAACGTGGAGCTGCTGCTGCTGGTTTCTCTGCGGTTTGCGCTGAAACAGTAAAGGAGCAGCAGGTGAACATGTTTGAGTGAGGGTCATAGATTTAAAAAATGTCATCAGCCTCGTATTTTTTAGAGTTTTAAATGTACGTAAACTTGATTGTGCCTTAAACTTACACCTTCGCTCTACAAGTGAGTGAATTTTTTTACCATTTTTTTTGTTTACTTGCTATTTTTTCTTCTTTCGTGCTCTCAGTTTTCATTGGCTGTTGCACGAATCCGTTCAGACTGAGTCGTTGACCAGTTTACACTAGATTACACTCGGAGTCGGGTCAAAAAAATCAAACCTGTTTGATAAACTCAGACTGGTCTGAAACGCGACCAGGAGGCCACAGATCTGAGTCTGCGCCCCTCACACATGACTCTCTCACCAACTCTCGACTCCGACTGGCTTAAAAATCTGCAGGCTAGAGCCGACCAGCTCAGACTCAGCCAGACTGAGAATCAGGGTAAAAGTTGTGCAGTGTAATCCAGGCCTAATCAGATCAGATTTCATGCCATTCGGTGTCCAGCTCTTCTTGCACGTCAAAAGCAGCGTGTGCACACTTGCACACGCATTGTTACTATGACAACCAAAGTGACCATGCATGGGAATGCAATCAGTTCAAAACCACTACTTTTTTTTTTTGCTTCGCTGGAAAATGACAGCAGTGAAATCTAAACATGCACTTTCCAGGACAAGACGGGAAGAAAGGAAAAAGTGAGGCATGCTGTTGCTCCAGGGAACAGGAGGGTGCAGGAAAACACTTGTAGAGTTTAGTTAAAGGGACCGAGACAGAACAGGAATGTGGAGAATTCGCTCACGTTCAATGCGTCTCGCTCTGATTTGCATGCCTAAGCCTTTGCATCTAATGAATGCTCTAGGTAAGAGAGGATGTGAGTGAACACTATCATTAGAAATTCAACAGCAGGGCTTTTCCGGGATCAGTCGAAGCAGATGAGAATGAAGATTGCCATCATTAGAGATTAAGTGGCAGCTCTACTGCCGGGTTAACTGCAGGGCAGGTGATTTAGCATACAGGGCGGCTGATGAGAGAGATAACAGACAACAGATAGAGTCCGTCTGGTGGCATTGTTTGTATTCCCTTCTGTCCTGGAAAAGAAAACCAGGGTTACTGTAAACACAGCAGACAGAGTTGCTCCAAAACACCCTGAAGCAGGCCACAGGGGGCTGAGAGATAAACCAGGAGGGCAGCAAGAAGACTCAAAGAACACAAGCTGAGAAGCAACAGGGAAAAACATAGTGGGCAAAAGATAAAAAGAAAAAAAAAGGGTTTTTTTTGAGCAATGCCCACAGAAGAACCACTTTCGGTTCTTCAAAGAACTATATTTGTAAACAAGTGTGAAGAAACCTTTCGAAGTTGCTTTCACTTCTATTATAATTCAATTTAATTATGTTCACTTAAGTCATTTCTTGAATCTCTCTCTCACTCTGACATGATGGTTCACACTCAATGACTTAGCCAAGTGACAAACATCTGTCATTAATGTGAACAAACCAGTGTCCTGAAATGACCCGCAAGCACGCATCCTAATCAGTAACATCAACATCATGTGAACAGCCAACAAACTGAAAAGCGGAAGGAGGCTTTGCTGTGAAGATGATTAACTCTGATCAGCTGCTCATTATTAGAGCAAGACGAAGGCGAAAAAAGGTGAGATGAGCTGCTTTTCCACCGTTTACAGGCTTTAACTTCTGTTCGGCGCTGCTGCCATGGTAACGCTGAATGATGAAGCACATGAATTCCGATCTGAGCGTTCTCACTAAGGTCGCATGGTCACGAATCGGATATGTATCTGATCTAGGATGACATGAAAGCCACTCAAGACGGATATGAAAAGACATTTGGGCAAAAAAACGGATTTGTGCCACTTCAACCTGGTAATGTGAACACAGCCTATTACTGTCAGTGATAATTATGATGCGCGAGTTGATCATTAACCAAAGTTATACGGGGTGGGGTGGGGGAGGGTTAACTTCCCTCCCTGATCTGGTCATTTCAGTCCGCACAGGGATAGTGGTGTAACTCTATGGCAGCGGGCGGTTTGCTTTTATTTTCTGGCAGAAGTAGGACTTTGAATTCATACAAGATGCCGGAGAACAGGAGATCTTGGTGGTAAACGTTAGTGGCTAATACATGCAGCATCCTACAGATAAAAGTATAAACGGATGAAAGAAATAAGTTGACCGCCCCTTTGAAGTTTAAAGAACCATCACATTGTAAAAGTTCTAAACTCCTTAAAGGACTTTCCCACATCTAAGCCAAAAACCATTTAGAGACCTTTACTTTTCAGACTTTTACTTTATTTAATAACCATGATGTTTTGGCCCACATGCGAAGTCTTTATCAGATGTACTTCTGACGCACCTTTGATCAGATGTACCTGTGATTAAGGCCTTGCATGCAGGATGAAACGTCATGTTATAACTCAAAGTGTTTGATCCTGTTACATTACAGAATTCTTTGATCTTTGCTTGCATCTTAACTACAGTTGGTCAAATCATTTTCTTTTAGTCCTAGAAAAAGCGGAGCGAGGGTTGTGAGGTTTGAGTACCGTTTTGAGTTTGAGGTTGTCAGCGGCGGACTCGTTAAAGGAGACTCCTTTGAGGAAGTGTGAGCCGATCTGCAGGGGGATTGTGGGTAATTCACACTGGAGGGGCTGAGAGGTGGTCTGCATCCGGCCTGACTGCTGGGCCTCAGCCTCGCTACAGCAACCCTAAACGCACACAACCAAACACTTTAATGTTCTCAGAGGCGCATTAGCAGTTCAGACAAACATGCATGATCATACACGTTCAGCAATTTAAGCACATGCAGCAAAATAACAAATAAATAAATAAATAAATAAATAAAAAATACAAAATACAAATCTATTCTCATACATAATCTCTCTCTCCTCAGTCTTGCTATCTTTTCCTATCATCTACATAGTTGTTCTCGGATGCACCAGTTTAGACCTAGAGAAAATAACGTGAATGTAATTTTATTTTGCTTCTTTTTTTTTTTATAAGTCATTCTCATTCACTCAATCAGTCGTCTGCTAGCCTCAATGTTATCTGCTGACCCGTGTTTCTGCAAACTGAGAGCAAGTTTTCCTTGTTTGCAAAGTCTCCATGTTAGGGGTGCACGACTGGAATCAACCGTAATCTTAATCTATTAACTTGTTAAGATCATTTCAGCAAATTGGTGTGGTAATTTTATGACATACATAAAGTAAAATAATAATAACACAATCTAACTTTAAAAAAATAACTTAAAATTTAAGTGAACAATTTCAGCGAGACACTATTGTACATTAGACACGGCTCATATGAAGCACCCCAGGATCTGTTTTTCCCCTGTAGTCATCTCCATATCCTACTATAACAACCTGTGCTACCAAACCGTATGGCAGATTCCAGTAAGTCAACACATTTTATGCTGTAATACATTTTTTATCATGAACACTTTTATTAAATAGCAGTATATCATGCAGAAATATTCACTGTGTAAGCAGCCGTTTTTGTCTGGTAGCATAAAGCAAACTAGCCAAATTAATATTATGTATCACAGTTTTGAAGCTTGTAAGATTGATATGTAACATACTCTATTTTGTATGCTGTGGTTTAATACTGCCTATAATAATCTATACCAGTGGAAGAACCTGTTAGCTGTCTTATTTGTTTAATAGAATCATGTTAATTCATACAGTGTTTACTGTAGTTTCACACTGTTTACTTAATATACATGTGATTTTTGACTGCAACTATCTGTGCATTCACGCTTTCTCTACTGTCCTACACTGTACACTGACCGCTACATCCGAGGGGCATCTGTGGGAAATAAGTTTCATTATAGTGTGTTCATTAAGGCCTGCAAAGTAAGAGCTCTGGGTTACTAAAGTAAATGGACTGTTAGTCTTTCTTGCCCATTACCCAAAAAAAAAACAAAATGAGAAAAAAAATAAATAATTAAAAATAAAACTGTAAGGCCAATTCATAAAAATTGGCCCAAAAACATCCACAAAATTTCATGATCTGTTCATCCTTATTCTATGTCTCAGAATCTAATAAAATAACTGGTCATCAGCAAATTCAAACAAACAAACCAGTATTTCTCTAATCTCTACCAGAAGCGACCAGCTTTAGTTGTGAATTCCACAGTGAGTCGTACCTGTAATGCAGCTTCTGCAGCTTTGGGATTCAGGTGAAAGCCCCCTTTGAGTGCGTACTCACAGTGTCCCAGAGAGTCCAGCGCACTTCTGTATGCCTGCACAGATAAAAACACTTAAACTCAACATTCAGCTGTTTTATAGTCCCTTTTATGAGAGACGCACAGTGATATCACAATTCACGTTGGTATCAGAAGATATCTCCACTTATTTTACTGAACAGGAGTACACACACACACACACACACACACACACACACACACACACACACACCGATCAGGCATAACATTATGACCACCTCCTTGTTTCTACACTCATTGTCCATTTTATCAGCTCCACTTACTATATAGGTGCACTTTGTAGTTCTACAGTTACAGACTGTAGTCCATCTGTTTCTCTGATACTTTGTTAGCCCCCTTTTACCCTGTTCTTCAGTGGTCAGGACCCCCATGGACCCTCACAGAGCAGGTACTATTTGGGTGGTGGATCATTCTCAGCACTGCAGTAACACTGATGTGGTGGTGGTGTGTTAGTGTGTATTGCGCTGGTCTGAGTGGATCAGACACAGCAGTGCTGCTGGAGTTTTTAAACACCTCAGTGTCACTGCTGGACTGAGAATAGTCCACCAACCAAAAATATCCAGCCAACAGCGTCCTGTGACCACTGATGGTCTGAGAGAGATATTTTATATATATATATATATATATATATATATATATATATATATATATATATATATATATATATTAGGGGTGGGAATCTCTAGGCACCTCACAATTTGATTCGATTATGATTCAGAGGCTGCGATGCGATTATAAAACGATTATCGATGCATCTTTTTTTTTCTATACATGATTTCTATTTTCTTACTGTCTGAGGACTTGGTAGTTTTAAAACAAAGTATTTGTAATGATCAATAATGAATTTACGTCCAATATCTTTTATTAATAAATCAAATGGAAGTGATGTGGCAAGTGAACTAGAAGGCTCTCATTCACTGCTCTTGTTTGGAGACGCTGCTGCCACTCATCTGTGATAAAATGCGCTGTTACGGTGAAGTAAGATCCAGTGGTAATGGATGACCACGCAGCACGTTATATATTCTTTAGTGATTCCATAACTTCCGTATTGGTCTCGTGATAGAGGGGATGGGAGTGCGAAAGACTGCAGGTCACCTAGCAACGAGGTTTCGCCTGGCTAGTGGCGAAAGAAAAAGGAAAAGAGAAAGACAGATGAACATTTGGAGATGAATGGACTTATTGGCATTTATAAGCAGCGCAGTTGGTTTCCTGGTACGTTAAATCTGCAACGAGAGACTGTCACACGCTAAAAGTTGCGAAGATGAAGTCGCTTCTCTAATTTTCCCGTTCCACCTTAAATGGTGCCGCTTTTACATTCGGCGCCTCAGTCAGAATTTAAGGTGGAACGGGAAAGTTCAGCAAGAAGCTGGCGAGTGAGAAGCGACTTCAGCCTCGTAGAACAGCGGAAAGCTGAGAGACATTTTACAAGAAACTAATCAACTTCTGAGGAAAAGTTTTCTGGCAGAGATGGAGGAAAAGCGGCTGTAGCTGAGCTAAAGCTTAAAGCAGAGCAAATCTGTGTTTTTCTTTATATTTTTTAGCCTAAACTAGCACATTATCACATACTGGACATTAAATGTTGTGGCTCCCAAAGTGGTCTGATTTTTGTTGAAAGGCAAAATGGCTCTTCTTATCATTTGGGTTGTGACTCCTGACCTAACCTGGCTTTAAAGCAGAGGGAGCCGGTCGGATTTCTCGCTCATCCAGTAGTGTTTTTTGTTATGTGCCGCCACAGACTGTCCGGGCGCTGCACTTACCCACTTCTAAGTTCCGCCTTTTGCGTTCCGTCAACATTACGTTATAAATTAAATATTTAGAAAATCGATTTTTGACATTTATGAATCGATTCAGAATCGTCCACGTCCGCAACACAATGCTTCTAAGAATCGATTTTTCCCGCACCCCTAATACACACACACACACACACACACACACACGTTTATATACACCCACACACACACGTTTATATACACCCACACACACACGTTTATATACACCCACACACACACACACACACGTTTATATACACACACACACACACACACACACACACACACACACACGTTTATATACACACACACACACACACGTTTATATACACACACACACACACACACACACGTTTATATACACACACACACACACACACATACACGTTTATACACACACACACACATACATATATACATATACACATGTATATATAAAATTCAGTATTACAGCCTGGAAGATGACCTTAGTTCAGCTCAGTCCAACACACCTAGTTCAAATCATGACTCTTGGTCTAGAAATTAAACTTCTTAGGCTCTTAATAAAAGTTTCCCTTTATTCTGATTCCCTAAATATGCATTAGCTGCAGGGCTGGCTGTAGTTCAGTGGAAGGGAGTGTAGCCGGGTGGAGGTGGCACAGTCACCTGCAGGGCGCTGTTGATCTTCAGGTTGAGTTCTTTGAGCTGGTGCTCGGGGAGGGAGGGGCTGTGAGAGCAGAAGAGCTGCTGCACCTGAATCCCAGCCAAGCAGCCATCGCGACCCCGCTCCCGCAGACGTGCTGTAACCTGCAAAACACACCAGACTCATCATTATCGTTCTCTGCTGAAGCACTGCAGCCTTGATGAGACAAAGAAAGGCTAATATTTCCCCAAACAAACCAAAATATGCATGGCAGAAAAAGGGGAAACAAGATCAATCTTCTGTTGAGCTGAAAATAACACAATATATAACTTGTGAGAGGTATTATAACATGTTTAGAGGGCATTACATTGAATAATGTTTGTTTATTTGAGTTTGTGCTGGGTCTGTCATTTGTGAGCTGCTAAGATCAACAGCTAAGAAGTAAGACTAACCAATTTGTTGCCTAGACTGGCCAAAAGAGAGTATTAAATTGTTAATTAAAACAATGAATATGGTAATTAATCATCAACTAAAATTTCATAATCATAACAGGGCTAGTCAGACTCTTTATCTGGTGTTTAACTGGCATAAAGGTCTCAACCACATATGCAAAATAAAAACATACAATGAATAAAAAACTTAATTCATGTATTTTGTCAAAAATTAGCTGTGTTAGGAATTTTTCTGCAGCCTTGAAACTGTAGCCGTAAAAGAATGCCACTGTGGGTGGAGCATGTATAAGAATTCTGTCACTGATAGTGAAACAGTTCGTCACAACATTAGAATAGATCGTAATCTTCAGCATCACCATGGCTCTGTACGCCATCAACAACCTGCAACATTCCACACAGTTCATATTTATCCTGTTCAACTTACTCACCAAGTTTTAAACAACATAAATACACAATCATGACCAGATGCCAAATACAGCAAACCTTAACATCCAGCGAAATCAACATGCTGTCTTTCAAATCTAAAATAAACTATAACATCGTAACTCCTAACCACATTTCTAATTAAACACTGAGTGAAACAGATGACTTCGCGTCCAAGCCATCTTAAACATCTCAGCTATTGTTCACACTTCCTCATCTTTCCAAGAGGGCACACGAGGTCCACAAGTGTTCCTTAAGGCGTATAAGCTCATTTCCTGTGAGCTGATCTGGACAGTATGAAGGTTTCCCAGAGCAAGAAGGCCAATTCTGGACCAGCTGGTGATCATATCTCTGTTATGCTGAGCCGATATATCGGTTAGCCAATTAAATGTGGCCTTATTAAGGTTCCACGTATTCATTGTTATTGTTGAATATTCCAAGAGCAAGTTAATAGAAAACAATAAAAACGCTGAGAACACTGACGAGTTACTGTACTAGCATTAAATTACTCACATGATTCTGATTATTTAAGACTTAAAATATTTATTTACAAAATTTGACAATTAAATTGCTAACAATGGTGTCTGACCCACTTACTAACTTAAATCGGAGTCTTTAAGTTTTTACCATACAAAACCATATAAAATATCAACAATTATCAGTTACTGGAATTTTAGCTCATTAAAATCAGTACCAGTGAGCATTTTTATATTGGTGGGGCTTTATGTCTCTTACACAAAGCACAACACAGACAAACAGTACAAAAAGGGGAATTATTTGAAAGCAAATATTTCTGCACACCAGACGGAGCATGACTTTGTCATGTCACAGGAAGAAAGTCTTCAAATGACAGTGATACCCCCCCCCCTCATTGAAAGCTGCAAATGAGAACATTGAGCAGAAATACATTTTTAAAAAAAAAGGGAAAATAAAGAGGGGAGAGTTTGACCACCTCACTCAGCATACAGCTCAGACGTCCACAGCACAGTTCGATCTACTTTTAGAGATGCAGCACTGCATGTGATGAAGAAAGAAACTAAAACTTTCCATGTTTGTCAAAAAGTTTGGATTGCTGGGGCACAACCGATCAGTAAGCTGGGTGTGGCTGTGCGAACCACAGAGACAGCAGTGACTGGTCAAATGAGTTGAAGCTGCCTTTAATCTGAATCATTATAAATCATACAGACAGTAAAAATCTGATCCTAGTTAAGCTACTAGTTAAGCACCCACTCTACATATACTGATAAATACAGGTGCGAATCTGATTAGAACGCACATCGCATTCATCTTGAATTCATAACACAGATAAATATATAATAATATAACATAATAATAACAATAACAACAATAATATATAAATCAATCAACAAAAAGTCATTTTCCTTTATCGTACGATCTGATTTTAGATATCAAACAAACGCCAGTGCAACTTCTATCAAAAACCTACAACACATGGAGGGAGATCTTAAGCAGGGTCACACACTGAACACATGACTCTTAGTGTGTTTGTGTAAATTCACTTTGACTTGACACCAATTACGATATTTTAGGAAATGACTCATTAACCACATCACAAATTTCACAATTAGATTATTTTGGTATGATGGAGAATCATGCTTAAAAATACCATGAACACAGAAACATAACTGGAGGAAATGTTTATGCAGTATCAGAAATAGATAACAGCAGGCAGTGTTAACCGAGGCACTTTATTTTGGCCAAAATGAGCACATTTATATGAGTACTATTATATTTTAACTAATTAACATTTTGAAGTCAACTCAGTTGAGCGATCACTCTCCGATCAAAACACTGATGCATTTTCACACCGCTGTTTGTTACAGATCTTCAATAGAGTGTGTGTGTGCACATATTGTTTCTGTACCTCTGAAGCCCCTTTCCACGACCGGGCGGCCTCCTCCAGCTCGCTGAGGGGTCCTGGGGCAGTGGTTTGCGTTCGAGCGCCCGTGCAGCGCTCCTGTACCTGGGCCAGCGCCTCTGCCAGACACGACTGTGCCACCGGCTGCACCTTTTGCAGAGCCTGAGACAGGAACTGGAAATGTACCTGCATGACCGTCAGGAAACAGCGGCCCAGCACCTGAGAGAGAGGCGAGAGAGTGAATGAAACAAGGGTTAAAAGTTTAGACAAAGTGGAGCAAAATTTTAAACAAATTTCCTGATCAAGCGTTTTACACTCTATAAGTAATAACATTTCTGTACAAAACTTCACATCGATGATCAACAGCATCACCGATGTAGCTGTGCTGACGTCTGGAGGGCCAGTGCTCCCTATAGCAGCAGCCCAAAAACAAAGGAAGTGCTCATTTCATCAGTACCAGGGCACAACACTTCCTATAATTCTTCCTAATCTGAGCTAACAGAGCTAAACTAACCTAAGAAGGGATTTCTTATTCTCTCCACAACACAGCTAGCCACAGTTACAATGCTAAGTCACTGCCAAGTTGCTAATGATCTGGCCCTGGTCATGCCCGTTTTGGCAAACTGCATATTTCTAGTGTCAGTGATCTTAAGACTGAGGCCCTCAATCCCTTTAGCTACTACATATTTCTGCTCTGTTCCCAGAGGCAGATAAACAGATGTTGGATGGTTTGGACTGGCTGAAGGTCTCCTGAGGACTGAAAAGTCCTAGATGCAACCAGCCCCTGTCTACACTGTCACACTTAGGGGTGGTCAATGTGCTGATATTTTTTGTTATCATGATAAACTGCATCAAAACACACTTTTCTGGAAAAGAAGACCTTAAAGAACACTGACACAACTGCGTGCTTGATTACAAAGAGAGCATCATCAGTCCTGTTCATGTAAATGTGTAAAATATTGAATAAAAGTCACTCTGCTTCCAGTTTTTGACAGTACAGGGTGATTCAAGAAGATTCATCTGATTTCAAAGCGCCATATTTTTACAACCGAGAGGCGCCTAGGAACCAATCACAATCCAATTGTAAGAGGGGGTCATAGAGTTTCTGACTGTCAGTGGAAGATGGCTCCTTCAGTCTGAGAGGAGATGAGACCCCTGAGCAGAAAGCGTTCTGCGTTCTCCACTTCAATAAGAGTGAATCCGTCATAACTGTGCAGCGTGATTTACGTGGGCAGTGAAGCTCCAACAGCTCAGAGCGTTCGTCGTTGGTTCCACAACACTGGATGATCTCCGAAATCGCACTGAAAGAGCCGTGAGTGCAGCGACACCCGACATGCTCAATCCAGTATGGGATGAATTTGACTATGGCGTTGATGTTGTCTGTACAGCTGGAGGAGGTTCATACTGAGACCTTGTACAATTACATAAACTTTATGCTCATTTAAACCATTTACAGTTCACTGCACTGTTCTGTAATGATTTACAGGTAAAATCATTTTGAAATCGCATGAATCTTTTTGAATCACCCTGTATTATTTTACATGTGGCAATGTTGGTTCTCTTTCTGCCATTTCAATCATCCATATGAAAGTCTGGAGGCACGGTTTTCGTTAAAGTAATTCCAATTATTTTTTTCTGTAGCATATAAAATGATATAAATAATAAATAAATGAATAAATGATATTATAAAATGACATTAAGATGCTACTCCTCTCCAACTTCATAGATTAATTTATAACTGCTAAGTAGGAATCTATAAATGAAATAAATAATGAAATGTTAGATGGATCCAGAAGTAGATCATTCTAAATGACTGAGGAAACTGTAGAACATTAGGATAGAAGTTATAATAAAATTTATATTTTAAATAAGCCTGCCGGGCAGGTCAAAAGTGCTGATCACATCTCGAGATCGTGTATCAATAATTAGATAACTAAACATATAATTATGGGATATTATCAATTAACAACTTATTGTAGTTTCATAAAAATCTTGAAATATTGAAAAAACTCATCTTAAAAAGGTCTTACCATGTCTAGATAATATTATTTAAATTTATACAGTAGGGCCCAAAGATTGATCACTCTAACTCTCACTTTAATCAAAATTTGTAAGAGTGTAATCGTTCAGCCCTACTATACTCTATGAATAACAACTATTATCAGCATGACAAGGGATTCCAAACCTTTCGATGGTACGTGAGGTGCCATGATGAGTTGTGGGCCCTAATTCAAGTACAAAAACACTCACAGCACAGCTCACTCAGTACAACGAGTCAGAAACAATGTAATTCAGGTGTTAAAGAGTCAAATATCACCGGGGGAAACCCTGGGGAAGAACCAGGAGACATCTGAGAGTTTCTAAAAATTGATGTTTGTGGACGAGAACGTTTGTTTATAGACTGTCCATGTTTTCAACTCCTTAAAACGGCACATCTTCATATCATGATGTGGTGACAGAGAAAAAAAAAGTCAAATAGTTTTATTCAAGCTGCATTTTCTATCACACTATTAACACTTTCAGCAACAGTATTCACCTGGAGAGGACCAAACCAGCAGTTTCTCCCTCCAACAATTAATATTTGCTTCACACAGATGTATACATGTTTGTAATGTAGCACTTCTTCTGCCAGCCCATCTCTGAACTGCTCTGTGCTATTTGAACTGTGCCAATTCTGATTTTGGGTCGAGTCCTGTCACACATACGTTCACATGCATCTTCACAGAAGTACAAACCAGCCTTAAATATTGAGGAAGAAACACAACCGGGTCCAATTTCCCACACTTATGCACACAGCTAGATTATTAGTAAATTTATGCTCATTTATTCACCTTTAGGGCTGTCAGGATTATATTATTAGACCTTGGATTCAATTGAACCAGCCTGATGTTTCATTTAAGTACCTAATGCCACTTTTTAATCTTAATTTAATCTCAAACAATCTTAATCTTTATTGTGACTGGCTAATAGAAAGTACTGGACATGTGTTGATGTATGTAAAACAAAACAAAAAAAACAGAGAAGAGCTGCTATGTGCAACGTTCTGACTGAAACTTGCCGACCACAGACACAAAATGAGCTGTGAATGTTGCCAGAAAAACACTCACCGTGTCCTTAAGCAGATCAGGGCTGTTGTATCTGCTACGGCACAAGGCCTTCTACCTTAATAGGGAATCTCTCTCCGCCTGTTATCATTAATCATAACGCAGAGGCCAAGGCCAGGCCGTAAAACACAGACACGATTACAGCAGATAAGCTTTACCTTGGCCTGCAGCTGTGGACAGCCTGAAGTGCATTACCTTGCTTCCAGTCATCTCACATCTCCTCTCAATCTCTATAACTGACGCCAGGCCTAGCAGGACCCTACAGTAGCCACGTTTACATGCAGGCTAATAATCCATTAATAATCCGTCTAACAGCTCAATCAAAATAGAATACCTCCATCTAAACACCTCAATCAGAACAGACTCGTCCGATTGAGGCCATTCGGAATACAGTGACTGAACAAGGTGGGTAATCCTGTATCTGATTACATTCCCAATCGGAAAGTTTAAGTCCGTTCTGATCATGTTCGTCGCGTCATAGTGAAAGTTTATACCGTTCAGCATGGCGGAGCAGAAACTGGTCTGCAGAGGAGACGAAGTTTCTGCTCTGATCTTTAAAAGACGGCGGTGGGACGGACGTCCAGCTTTAATAAGGACATGTGAAGGACGTTTTCCTGAGTCTGACATCATTTTAAAGCAGTTAAAAACACAAGCGCTGCTCACTGCTGCTCATCTCACTCTGACTGGGCTCACGTGATGCTGGTTGTCATGGTAACGTCTACACTAAGTGGTACTCTACGCATGCACGTCATTTTGGGTCAGATTACTTGTGTTGAGCATGTAAACAGAGATTTTCATCAGATTGTTGAGTAGAGTGAGAATAAACACCTCAGTCTTAATCCATAATCGGAATGTATCCAATCGGAATGGCAAAAATCTTTACATATAAACACAGACACTGATGGTTTTTCAGGAGTACTTGTATCCCCAAGTCAATAAATATAGTGAAACTGTCAAATCTCAGGTTTAAATAAATAAATAAACGAATAAATAAATAATGTTTTCCACCGTACATGCAGTCGACGTAGTGCTACAGATTAAGAATGACGTATGCTTATGTTCAGTCTACTCATGAGTGTTAATCAGACGTCCAGTATCCAAACCAGAATGGCTAAAAAATGTAACACTCACACATTACAGTACATTTTCTCTTCCAAACGTGAAAAACATGGCAGCACTGTAGACCCTGCCTGGCCTTCCACCACCAACACCCAGAGCAATATGGAGTGGTTTCAGTGGTGATTCACGAGTAAAAATAGAGAGTTAAAATAAAATACAGGCATTTTACATCTCGCCATGCAGTGTGGAAGAGGAAGGGAGGGTGCAGGGGTTTTCTTTCACAGGTGCGTGCTGAAAATACCTGCAGGCTGAGCTGTAAAGGCAGAAATATGTGGGCCCCCTGTGCAGGAAAAATGAGACCGGGCTAGTTCCAGTCTTTCACATAATACATCAGAGCACTGACCCAAGAGAGGCCATCATACAGAAACAAGCTGATTGTTAGCCAATCATCAGCCCAGTAAGGCTGCAACTAATAATTACTGATATAATCGATTAATCTATCGAGTGTTTTTGTTCTATTAATGAACTAACCAAACTACTAAGCCTGCAGTTTCCTCACACTTTGGCCCAAATACCGTTCCATCATCCTTACAAAGGCCCGTCCTAAACGCTCCTCCTCTTCCAAATCCGCACTTTGGTGATGTTCACGATAAGGGTGCTAGATTTAAAAGCATGTCCACCTGTGGGAAGACAACTCAGCGCTATGGGCCTGAAAGGATGGGTAGTAGTGAAGAGGCCCTCACAGAGAAAAGGAAATAGACAAGAAAATATGATAAATTTGCACTAGAAACTGGACATCTGAGAGGTGGTGTAAGGCTTTATGGACTGAGGAGTCTAAATTTGTAACAGCGATTTATTAAAAATGCAAGACGCAGTAAATGCAACCAACCTGGACTGAACTTATGAGATGTAGAAAAATATTCTTTTTAGAAAACTGAACGTGAGTCTCCTGAAAAGAACAGAAGCGGCAATGAATGTAAAACGTGGACAGTGGAATAACTTATACTTGATAGAGGAGAGCAACACATCCAGGTACTTTGCCCTTGTGTGATGGCC